TAAGCGCAAGTTTTACATACACATCAAACACGCAAACCAACTTCTATATATAATCCATATGTTCTATAGGCAAAATCAAAGTTTAACACATTCATTTCTATAATAACATGACGTCAAATAAATAAGCCATAAATTCTTCTTTCTGATCTATCTACTCCAAAAGGATCGGCAGTGGTCAGATATTGTGCGCACACAGTTGAATGTGTGATCCAAGACGATAATGCAACAAACGATTAAAAGCAATTCAGACAAATAACCATTTTGTAATGCATTTCAACAACCGAAGCAATGGTTAAGATCGTTTGCTATTTCCCATTTTCTCGAGTTTTGCAATTTACATGACCCGACAGAAGAACAGAGAGAAAAAAAAAACTTTTTTTCATTTGCTTTCAATTTATTTCATTGAGTGGTATTTCAAGTGTGGGTATGTGTGTTGAAAAATTTGCAACGCATACATTGAATCCGATGATGGTAGTAGACGTCGATTTTTCGATTCTCCGAGCTCTTTTACACTAACACATAAACAAAAACAACGAACACACACTCACACAAACACCAATGTCGTATGTTACTTCAAATGGTTTGTTGTCGGATTCGTGGAAATGTATGTGGCATATTATGATGACTGTGTATTTTGTTGAGCGTCGTATTCATCGGTATTTGTTTAATCATCTCTTCAATATATGTTTTCGTTTGGTATGAATATGGTTGTGTGCTTATGTACCCACCTTTTTATATGGGTAGATATGCGCATGTTAATGTGTCTGCTTTTGTTGGTCGTTTTACAATGGTATTCGTTCGTTTCAATTGCGACAATCGGATGTGCTTTGGCATCCATCTTTGTTCATTCACTTGAAATTGTGATTTACCACATAAAAAAAAAGATGTAGAGCAACCAAATGACGAGTTCCGTCCGACATTTTGTTTTGATTTGATTCGCCTTCGTATTGTCTCTCTGTTTCAATGGATCCAAATACGTAAATAATATGCGACGTCATACGATTGTTGAGAAAATTTGCGATAATTTCGTTTTATTACATTTTTGGATAAGGAACTTTTTTTATATCCTTAAGCTCTTCAAAAATCTACCAAAATAAAAACGGGAAAAAAATAAAATTTTCCTTGAATTTTTTTTTCCAGAGAAAATTTATGATTGACTTAACAATTTGCAAATTTATGAAGAAAAAAAATTATTTTCATCGAATAAAAATATTAATTCAATTTTTGAATGACTTAAATGTCCAACTAATATCAAACATTAAATAATCATAAATTTCAAGGTTCAATGATCAATATCAGCATGCAGGACATTTTTAGCATATACGATCAGTTTTAAATACAGTTGAGCAATCGAATGATAACGTAGTGATCTTTGAATTTCTTACGAAAAAGCAGTAAATGTAGAACAAAAAGCAAACACCAGCAGCCATCAGCAACGCATTCTTATAAATTTATTTTTTCTTTTCGTTTCTCTCTGTCTCTCATTTGGTGCATAATACATTAAACGTAGCTTACGTTACGCTGTAATGTGTTTGTGTGTTGTCTATATCTAGCAAAAGCAACTACCAAATTGGTAGTGCTTTTTTATGCAGTTACCATTGAGACTACCACCACCGTTTGAACGCGTTCATCGTTGTCTCTGTTCGACTAGTTATTCTAAATTGTGAATAGTTTGTGGTGTTTTCCTTGTTTTCGCTACTTTTCTCTCATTACACACATATTTTCGTTTAATTGTACGGTCGGTTCGGTTGGTTGGCAGCACTCTCGATTGCTCACATTCAACAATAGCACGACACATGTAAGCGTTAGCCATCATTATGATACATAACAAAATAGAGACATGATTGCATTTGTATGTTACTTTTTCAATTTAATACACACCAAACATCGTTCATCGTATGATTGTATTGAATGAGTACATAAGACCATTTGCATGCGTATGGGTGCGTTCGGTGTGTGTTCGGCAATCGACGCTCATGCATGCGTGTATCGATGTGTGCGTCATTCGGGTTTTTGTTAAATGTGTATTCGTCAACGGATATAGATGATGAATGCAGCACAGTCAGTACGATTACGGTATCCGAAGCGAAAAGGTATACACATCTCACGACGACACAATTGTTTTTTTTTTAAATTCAAATAATTTTCTGTGTGCTTCGCCGTCAGTTCGCTCAGTTTTCAGGTTCGTGTATTCATATTCTCTCACTCTCTTTACACTGTAGTATACTATTATACATATATTTCGTATGAATCTCTTTCCTGACTTTTTCACATTTCTTCTTTCGTTGTTTTCGTTGCTGCTGCTGCTGCTGCTGCTGCTGTTTGTTGTTGTTGTTGTAGTAGTTTGCTTTCGCGTTGTTGCTTCGGTTTTGGTTCTTCAGTTGCTTTTCGATTCCGAGTGTTCAGTTTTTGATGGTAGTTTTTTTTTTGCTGCTGCTGATATTGCTCTTCTCATCTCTTTCGCGATTCGATTTGTGTTCGGGGTTTTTTCCGTTCCATTTTCTTTTCGCATAAAACTGATTTTCATTGCATTTATTTTATTCACGTTGGAATTTTTGTTTTTGTAATGAATTTGCAGTGACAGCAACTAAATTCAATTGTTAGTAAGATTTCCGTCAGTGTCCCATCGATATTTCCGAATCAGGCCATTTCTATACTTATTTTATTGTTGTTATTATTAAAATGATAGTGTGTGGTATTGTGTGTTCATTTGACGTTATATTGCCGTGCACATAATTAGTGGCTGGCAATGGGATAATACATAATGGTGTTTGGTTGGCTTTCCTCTTTCGCTCACAGGACCTATTCTAAACTGTTTTGTCGTGTGTGCGAACATAGTATTTTGTGTGTATGTTGCTGATGATGATGGTGGTGGTGGTGCTGCTGCTACGCTTTGCCACACAGCGATCGAAAATGCATATTGTATGCATGTAGTGCACATTAAGCATAACATGGATAAAATGTTCACGTTCAATAGATGCATTGTATGTATCGTCGTCGTATTCGGTAAATCGCGTTGTCGTTTTCATCGTCATTGTTATTCTCAGCAAATTCGTTGACAATGGATGAAATCAAAAAGCATTGGTGCGTGTTTGTGTGTATTAGAGTTGAACTTGCTATATATTTTTTTCGGTGAATCGACATCAACGACACGGCAAAGATGCGTTCACTCCAATTTTTGTATGTTATATTGTCGCATGACAAGATCACCAATATTAGAACGAGAGAAAAGGGGAAGCTTCTTTGACGAGATCGAAAATTGCCGAGCTGTTTATGTTTCAATCAAAAGTGACAGTGGTTTTTTTTATTAATTGAAAACGAATGGACAGCTGACCCGGTCAACACGCGCATACTCATGCTCTAGTATTTGCATGTCATTTTCGATGGATACACTGACATTTTATGGAATGTTGCATTTTTCGTACAACGTACATGTTAACCACCCACTTTTTTCCCTACTCTGCTCCATTAAAATATTTCGTTTTGCATAGCTACCGCGTTAATTATTCATTGAAATCAATTTCATTAAATTTGGTTTTCTTTCTGCTTCGTCTCTCTTTTTTCCCATTTCATTTAAAATGCCAATCAAATCGTGTTCGTTGCGATCTCATTTTTCTCTGCCATTCACTGAATGCAACACGAATACGATTCCACGCTAAATCATTTGATGTGTGTATGTGTGTGCTTATGAGCGTTACGCATAGAATATGGAAAGCGAAAATCTTCATGCCGATGGTTGTCCATTAAAACAATAAAAATTAACTTCAAAGCAAAGCACAACAGCTTGCGTATACACTCAACGTGTTTTGCATTTTACGAACACATTCCAGTGAAGCCACTTCTTTTGCCCCAACAATATTTGCAAATTTTCTATTTATTTAGCCGTATTTTATCTATTTGCTCGGCCAAGCCTTGTGATTAATCTTCGTTTTATCTAACGTCTGCTTTGTCTTATTAAATGATTCAGATAAAAAAAATATACATACTACACGCCAAATGGAACCCCACATTTACGTCAGAAATTTATTTGGAAAATTCAACATTATTTCGGTTCAATTTCTAGTAAAATTTAAAAAAATCAGTGTAATATATTTTTTTAAAATTTCAATTGTTGAAAACATAAAAGAGCGTACATTTTTTTATTTTGGTCGAGCATAATAGTTTTTGGCTTATCGGTTCGTTTACACAGCGGTTAAATGAACGAAGGAAATTTTGATTCCTTTATCTCGACTATGGTTATTTCGTTCGTTTTTAATGCGTTCCACTTAAGCTGTCTTTCTTTTTTGCTATTCGCTCGATACCGTTTGCTCTCAATGCCAGCCACTCACATACTCGATATGTATGCCTTGTCTGTAGAGTGATGTGTGGAATAGCATTTTCTATATTTGTGTTTATTTACTAAGCAACGCTTTCGAAGAGATTTTTTTCTCTTTTTCACATACACTCACTTACCCGCACACTCTGCATTTGTAATTACCTGCTCGGCAGCCTGTTTGCGTTGAAGTTTAAACATTTCACCAAACGAAAACACAGCAAAAATCAAGCGAATTGTAAACAAACCCCAAACCGAAATCGAAATATAGTCTTGTCTTTTGACTTTTGTTTATCACAAATTCCAACAGATTCGTCCAAATTGCGTGGTGTCGTTCGACACTTAAAAGTAAACTCGATGATGAAATCGGATTAAGATTTTGGTTGTTGTGACGACGTCATTCGAAAAGAGACACACAGCTTATTTGATTGAGATTTGTGAATCGATTTCGTTGTTTTGGCATAATCATGTTTTGTTCAAATGTATGTGTGTTACTTTTCGATTCTTTCGCTTTCTTCTGTCATTCTTGCTTATGTAAACATTAAAGAAAAAAATATGAAACAACAAGATTTATTCAACAACCATAAAATGGTTTCTCTTGCTCGCCAGATTGAACTCAATATTTTAAAAACATAATTTTTGCGCCATGTAATTTAAATAATTTTTCTCTTTCTAATTTTTTTTACAGATATTCGATTTCGAATGCGACGTGGACGAAGAATAGTGTTCACAACTGGTGGCGATTCGAATGAAATCGTAAACAAGGCTTCACCATAGGATCGAAACAAAGTAATCAAAATAATACAATGGCCACTCGTAAAAGTCGCCAGAACACAGAGTCTCCAACACCATCTGGAACGGAAAGTGTGCCAACAACCCCCACAACACCAGCCACGCGTAATACGCGCAGCATACGCAATAAGCAATTGCAACAGGGCAAAGCCGATGAATCCATTCAAATAAAAAGTGAAAAAATTGAAGAAGAAGAAGAGGCTGTGAAAGAGACAAACAAAGAATACGAAATGAGTACGGCAAATGAGGAAATAACAACGCCAAATAACATCAGCGACAAGGTTGAGGCAAAAGAAACGATTGAACAAAATGACAAAGAGAAAGAGTCATCACCGCCGACAACACGAAAGCGTCGCATAGCCGCTGCCAAAGAAGAAAATGCCGGCGAAAAACCAGCAACACAAAACAATGAATCGATCAGTCCGAATACAACGGACGATGGTAAAATATCACCATCAAGAACTAAACGCTCTCGACGAAGTGCATGCGTACCAGACACAAAACCTGAATTAACACCAAGTGTTTTGAATAAACGACGAAATAGCACTGGTAAAATTGAGAAACCGACACGCAAATTGTCTAGTCGTATAAAGAAACTGAAGCAATTGAGAAAGACTCCATTTGGCCGGGCAATATTGAAGAAACCCGAAAAAATTACGGTCGCCGTTAACAAACCCATTAAACAATTGATCGAAAAACAAACAGCGACAAAAGGTGGAAAAGTCGAGAAAAGTGACAGTGCATCCGATTCAGAATTGATGAAAATGTCACGGCGTCGATCCGATTCAGTTTCAAAATGCTCAGATATGACAGATGCATCCAGTTTTCATGAAACAAAAGGTTCAGTGGAAGATTTGCTCACACAATCATCCGAAACAAGTGAGGGAAAAACGGTTGTTAAAGAAGAAATCGCTGAAAAAGATGAATCGGCGGAAAATAAAGCACCGGAAAATGAAGGGTCTGAAACGTGTACACGCAGTGTAAACGACAGCGGAATTGGTGGTGATAGTGATAGTTCGCAGGCTGTTAAGGCGGACGGTGATCAGTCAAATGACGGTAAACGACCATCCCGATTTTCATTACGAAAACGTCAATTGAACGCACCAAGAGTGATGAATACACGGTCTCGTAGCGAAACACCAAGCAAAACGGCTAGTGAAAAAGACGAAGATGAAGAGGACACCGTTTCGACAAAAGAGATCAAAAAAGAAGCAATCGAATCATCGACCGAAACTCCATTGCAAATTGATACAGTGGTTAGTGAGTCAAATGCCGATGAAAAACTATCGCCCGAACTGAGAGAACAAACGGACAAAGAAAATGTGACCGATGATAAGATCAAATCAGTGAGTCCTGTTTTAGAGAGCGAAGGTGTTTCGGAAATTAGTGTTAAGCAATTTTATGGTCGTGCTGAATTCTTGGAAAATAATTTGGGCATTGAAAAAGATCCAAAATTAGGTGAAATTGTGCAAATTCAAGAGAAAATCAAAGCCGGAAATAAAGACGCCGGCGATGATGATAAAAAGGGGGAGGAGACGGAGAAAATGGTGGTGGTTGTGGAGGAAAACACCGAAACACTCAAAGAAGACTGTGTAAAATCAGAGAAAACAATAGACATTACAGAACCAAATGAAGTCCATGAAGTTGATACATCAACCGAAAGCATGGAAATCGATGAAGAAGATGAAGAGGAGGATGGTGATGACAAAACTGATGGTGCTAAATGTGATGATGTGAAAGATGTGAAAGATATAAAGGATAGTGTAGACTGTTTTGTTAAGCCAGCCGATAATAGTCGGCGTAATAGCGCAACAATTCTCAATGAAAATCTTTTAGTGTTGAACGGTGAAATCGAGCTCACGTCAAAGAAGGAAAAGAAAGAAATTGTTAAAAATATGGATGAAGATGTTGGTGAAGTTGTTTTATTCAAAATATCGAATGGAGTGCGTACAAATCCGGAAAAATTGGAAAAAGTACTGGAAAGTCAAAAACTCAAGGAAAAGGAACGAAGTAATAGCACAGAAAGTACTGAAAACGGACTAACCATTGAAGAGCCCAAAATAGTGGAAAATAAAGAAACAGAATCGATTGGTGATGCGACAAAAATGATTGTCGATGAAAAGAATACAAATAAAATTAAAGTAAAAAGCGATGAACCTGTTCGATCGAATAGCATTGAGACCAAAGTGATTGAAGTTGTTAGTGATATGAAAAAAGATAGTTTGATTAAACCGGCTGCCGTACGAAGTAATTTAAGCAGCAAAGACAGTCGATCAAGTAGTCTTGATGATGAATCCCCGGAAGAACGAAATCAAAAAGAAAACCATTTGAAAAATCTTGGCCTTTTAACACATCAAGCGGCGGAAGAGGCAACGATTGAGAAGCAAAAACAACGCGAAAAATTGAAAGAGAAGAACAAAGGTAAGAAAAATTCCGAATACACGGGAACATTGAAAACGGTAATTAAATTGCATCGCGGCAATAATGACAAGAAAAAAGGCAATCAAGCGATTAAATTGACTCTGCACAAGAGTAAATCTAAAAATGGTTCTGACAAAAGTGACTCACACTCAAACGCCAATTCCGAAGAGGATACCTATTACACCATTCAACAACAAGACATTGATGGCATTGGTGAGAAACAAAACACTTTTTTCTCAATCTCTCTCTAAAAAAAACGAGACTTTTCTTTTCGATATAGATTCTAATCAATTGTTTTTTTTTTGTTGTTATTATTCTTCATTTCCCGTGGAACAGATCAAGAAGCTGACGAAGCTGCAGCTAAAGAACACGAGAAACTTTTGGTCATCCCCGAAAAAGCATCATCATTCCGATATCATCCAGAGAAAATTTGCGAGGATCAATGTTTCTATTGTGGTGGCAAATTTGGATTATTCGACACACCTTGTCACATTGCTCAAATCAAATCGGCCGAACGACAAAAGAAAATATTGGAATGTAAGTTGTACAGATTTTTTTTTGTTTCTTTTTTGATAAATCTATGTAAATTGAACTAAAAATATATTTTTTCCAAATGTTTAGATGAGGAGAAATTGACGGTAGACAGTTGCTTGTGCGATGCTTGTTTCCGACATGTCGATCGTCGTGCAAATTGTCCATCATATAAGAAACGTCTCTCAGAGCCAACGAAAACCAATGACACAACCGCAACGGGTCACGATGCCCAAGAAAAAGACTCTGATGGTCTATTGTTCCAAAGCAATCGAGAAATAACATTCTGTCAAGTTCACGATTGTAGAGATCAGGCATCGTATTCAGTGTGTCGCAAATGGGCATTGAAAGTTCGCAAAACACTCAGTAAACATATTCAATTCAACTTTGACAACACAAATTCAATAGCATTTTTGCCAATATGTGATAAACACTATGAAGAAATTAATCATCTCATGGTTTGCATTCTATGTAATCGTCGTCTCAAGCGTAACCATTGCTATTTCCTCTCACAGGTAAATAATGATTTTTACCCCAGGTTTTTCTGAAGATGAATATTGAAATCTTTTGTTTTCGATTTTGCAGGATGCAAACAAAGTTGAATCACTCGTCGCGAACGAAGGAATTCAACTGACAGTTGGAACCACATCAGTTGCATGCAAACTTTGCCGATACTATGTGAATGCGTTGATGCGACCACAGGAAGCAAAGAAAGTGGAATTTGCACGGGAATATAGAAAACGGTAAATAAATTTAAAAAAAAATCTCATTTTAATCATCAAGCTCATGGAAAACTCTTGTTTATTTCAAATAAAATAGATTCTTCGAGCATCAAGGAAAGGTTGATATGGTTGAAGAAGATTCGGAAGATAGTGCAAATCATGAGCCGTCTTCAAAACGATCAAAACGAAATCGAAAATCATTGAATGATCATTCGGATTCATCCAAATTATCACGATCAAATGATGTATCAATGGACTCAAATCAAGATTCAGCATTAAATACGCGAACGCGTCAAAAGAGCAAACAACTTTCACAGCAACAATTATTGGAGGAACAACAACGTGTCGAAAAGCGTGTTCAACAAGAGCAACTTAAATTGAAGCAACAAGAACTATTGCAACAACAAAAATTGCAAGAAGAATTACGCCAACAGCAGTTACGTTCAAGCAACGAAGACATATCGAATTTGCGAACAAATCCAAACATATCGATGCGTGAACTATTCCCGGGCGAAGAAGAAATGGGTTTGCATGTGAATTTACCATTTGCAAATAGTTGGCGAACGCCAGACGGCTGGACAAAAGTCACATCGACCGTTCAATATGATGAACCAACTCGAAAATTATGGGAAGAACTGCAAAAACCATACGGAAATCAATCGAGCTTTTTGCGTCATTTGCTTTTATTGGAAAAATATTTCCGAAATGGTGATTTATTGCTAACACAAAATACAAATCCAAATGCACTAAATTATGTTGAATCGGTTCAGCATCGTCTTCAAGCTTATGACAATATTCCATCACGTCCAATTAGCATTACACAGATTCTGCCACAAAACACATCGATTGCCGTCGATCTGGCGAATGCAAAATCAGTGACAACCGCCAATAAAGCGGTGACCATTTCTAAAGTGAACGCCCCATCAAAACAGCCGGCTTTGAGCATAACTGCCAGTCCAAAGTCAAACACAAGTGATAATACATCGAACAGTTTGCTAAAATCGAATGCAACATCGGTGCCAAAAACAAGAAGTTACACAGTGACAACTGAACCGATAAATGGCGAAAAAACCGAATCGAAAGGCAACAATTCAACAACGAATACAAACACACCAAAGAACAAAAATCCCGGTTTGCCACCAGAATTGATTTGCATTACAACACCATCTGAGAAACAGCATGCATCCGCCGTTCCACCTCCATCGTATGCACTTCAAATGCAATTAACACTCGCCCAACAAATTCAACAGCAACATCAAAACTCATTGCTACTACCGCAGCACACCAAACAGATATTGCAGAATATGGTACCGTCGACCATGTCGGGCACGAATGTTGTAGGTCACACTAGTTCACCGCCCAAAAAAACAAACATCGAACAACAATACATCGACTGGCAACAGTACAAGTTTAAATAAATCGCCAAATAGCAATAAACACAATACATCGACTGGCAAAGGAAGTGTGATTCACTTACCGGAGGTATTAAGCGATATTGAACGTCGCGAAAGCAAAAATTGGCGACCAACATTGATGGCAATCACACCGGAAAATAAAAACAGCAGCGATGGTCAATTGTATCAAACGGCTGATGGTCGAAAGCTACCTTATTTGGTTCAAGTTCAATCGCAAGGAAAACCATATATGATTTCCATTCACGACTATAATCGATTGTGTATTTTGCGACGCGAACGCTTGCTCAAAGATCAAACGGAGCTACTGAAAAATAAGAGTGGCACCACTGCAACACAGACTACTTCATCTGCATCTCAAAAGACAACGGCCACAAGTGCCAATAAAAAAACGGTGATTGATGTAGATAAATTGCCAAAGCAAACAAACAACTCAAATAATGGTCAAATTACAAACAAAGTTCAAGTTCCAAATAAAATACTTGAACAAAACTCATTGTTTCCAATCAATAATAAGTCCAACGAGAATTCATCGGATTCACTATTGAGATTCCGACTTCCAATCAAGAACAAATCATCGCTATTGAAATCGAATGCAATTCATCCAAAAGCATCAGTTGCGTCGCAACATTTACCACCAAATGTAACAGCCACCGTTGTCGCATCAAATTCACATGCGAAAATGCCCATTTCCCTGCCAAATGCATTGTCACAATCGAATGTTGTTTCGATCACATCGACACCATCAATATCGGCTCTTCTAGGTATGGCGCAAGCATCAACTCCGCCGCCAATTCAATTGATTCCAAATCAACCGCCACCAATCACAATCACCAACGTTTCAACCGGAAATTCAAATAGCTCGCTAAGTCAATCGAATGTTTCATCGCTTGAAGCTCTGTTCCGTACAACAAATCAAGTTACAACGACGCCAGGACACATGTTCGCATGGGCCGAACAACTTAATAAAAGCAACAGCATCACACCCATCGATAATTCTGCATCATCAATCCTATCCAAAATTCCGAAATCATTAACCGTCATACCGCAGCAAAAGCAACTCTCCAAAGGAGTTGATGAATTATAAAATAACACGAGTATTCTAATGCATTTTGCATAATTACGGTCTCTCGAATTTTATACACAAAAATTAAATGAAAAGCAAAAGTAAAAAAAACCTACAACTTACTACGTATACAATTGGAATTTTAGTGCCTAAATAAGTGTACACGAAATCATAATTATATCCAAGACGATTGTGATGGTTTCCAAAGCATAATGCCCGATAACAAAACGTATTTTTTTCGGATTCTTCTTCGTGAATTGTACAAAACGAGAAGTGAAAAAAATATACATATAATCAAGTGGAACATTTATTTTTGTACATAAATTATTGGCACTAGCCGTTAAGGATTTTATACTTAAAATATAAGCGACACTTGACTATTAGGCATTAAACAATTCCACAAACACATATACACACACTCTACCCATTTTTACACAAACCAATTAAGTTCGCAAGTAAAATTTAAAAATGTTACATTTGATGATATAAAAAAAAATTAGGTATATTTTTCACATGTTCATTCAAAAATATTTATATCTATATCAAAATACAAAATTCACAAAACAAAAAAAAATCATCAAAATTTACAAACTAAGCAAAAAAAAATATTATTTTTTTGAAATAATCAAAACAAACTCAACTTATTTGTAAGTGAAACTCTTTCACCATTTGAATAAAATTGTTATCGAAATGAAATTGCGAATGAAGCAAACAATTATCTTAGGTTTTTTCTTCTAGATATAGATTATCTAAGTATTCTATAATATTAAAAAAAAACTTTACCCCAGCTCAACATATTCATTTCAAAGAATAAAAACAAACAAACAAAAACATCAGCCCAAACATTTTACCATTCATAATTTCCTTCTAAATTAATATATTTAATAAAATGTAGAATATGTTTGCACTGAATTTGCCGCAGTGTTCGAAATCACATAAATATACGCATACACCGCCAAGGCAATAGAAGAAGACTTAAGTTAATAACTTCATTATCACATTTTCATTTCATACGCCGTGCGTTCACTTCACTTGTTTTTGTCGCGCTATTCCTTAAAATAAAAACAAAAAAAAAACAAAAATTGTTCAAAAATGTTCATAGATTAAGCGACTTAAAGCGAGTGCCTTTCATGCCTGAAACATTGAAACATTTTGTGAGACTTATGATCATTAAAATTTGAAAATAGATTTTGAATGAATTGGCCGAATTTCAATGGAAATTAGAATGTTTATTAAAATTCGGCAAATCAAAAGAGATAAAAAAACGGCTATCGATTGCCTACGAATCACAGCATTTTAATGAATGGAGTTCAATTTGTAACAATAAGTAAAGGAAAGCATTCAATAACAAACAAAAATATATGAATCTTATACAAATTCACTATTAGATGCATAGAACAGGTATTTTTATAAAAATCCACTTTTCAAAACATTATTTATAAGACAAAACTTGTATATTTATATCACGACATTTATGTCGTTTTGAAATAAACGAAACGAGCATTGAAAATTCAATTTTAACAAATGTTATTGATTGTCGAAGGTGAGATTTTTCTTTCTTCGGACGAAAACAGTTCTTTGTGACAGAACACGAAATATTTGTGAAAAAAAAGAAGCAATAATGCATGCGCTTACATCGCAAACTATCGGTTGGAATCGAAACATTTATATTGAGCTAAATTTGGTTGTAACACAACGCTCTTTACACATTAATTTTATGGGATTATGTTTGAATAGAAACTTACTATTGATATTCAAGAAATTATACAAAAAAAAACAGGCAAAAAGAACAACAACACTTGAATCCACAAGTGAAAATAATAATGTAGTTTGAGTTTATATTTAGTCAGTTCTGTTCATAAATTATTATCATTACACTTATCCTCTAATTTCTACTGCAATATGCAGTTTATTATTAAATAAACTTACTTTGCTGAAATAATTTACAACCACTCAAGCGTAGTTTTCATTCCATTCTTTATTGGGTTTTCAGGTAAAAATCATTTACAAAGACTTGCAACAAAGCTATGTTTTTAACTTTTGGCTCAACGGTTTAGTTTATTGGAAAGGAAACTTGCACAAAATACGAGGTTAACTCATTTGAGCATCTTAACTCATGTCCTTTTGTATTAAAACTCTGCATTTTAGGTCAAGCTGCATTGGAGTATAGTCAGAAAAAAATAATTTCCAAATAAATTTCATGAGAAAAAGTTTCGTTAATGTAATGCCTCGATATTGGAAAATCATTCGTAAAATTAATACTTGCATGCAAAAAAAAATGGTTTGCATCTGTTTTTTAAATCATATTTTTATTGTTCTTAACGAAAAATTCACTATTTTGACTTCAAACATAAAGAATTTTGCGATGCATGTTAAGTAATCATCCGAAAGACATGACATGGATTTTTTTCTTTCGTAAAAAACAAGTTTCGGCGAATTCACCGATTGTCTCTAGTTCGAATACCAAACTTGTAAAAGTTGTTATGATCGCCACTACAAACGTGTTTTATATTTTTGAAGTTTCAAATGCTTTCATATTTCGCTATAGTTGTTTGCACGTGTTTGATCATTTTCAGAAAACTGTAAACGTGAAACCAATTATTGGGTATAAATCACCAATTGATTTTTGTACCTATATTCAAATCAGAACTAAAAAACAAAACCAAATTGGTTGGCACCAACAAATAGAGCATTAAACATTACCTGTTTGAAAATGTTTTTCTCATCATTATCTGGGCATTGCAATGCGATGAAAACTATTCTGTCTGTCTCTCACTTATTTGCATCATAAAATAATTGAAAGCAAATGATTTATTATTAATATTGAAAAAGATAGATTTGAAAGGAGCCTTTGGAAACGAACTTCGTTATTTGACAGATTATAATCAGATGATTTTTGTAGAAGCAACACGTACAAAATTACAAAAAGGGTAAATAATGATATCAGATTATTGCAGTCCATTGTGGTCATTGCATTCATATGGTGGCCATAGGCAATTTAATGACTTCGAGAATACAAACGCAGATGATATGAGCAAAAATTCAAAAGAAATCAACAAACTAACCAAGCGATTTGAAGAAAGCAATAAAAGATACAAAAAATACATGAAGTCGTCTAACGGCAAAAAAATTATTTTTAATAAATCAAAGAGTTTTAAGTGCTTTGCTCGCGGTGTAAAATTAGCAAAATTGTCCGGTGGTTCCGATCGATGTGGTGCCAAGACCAGCAGAGATTTGAAAAAAGGAGAGCACATTTTTATTTCACGGCCATTTGCATCTGTCGTAGAACCAAATGAATCATACACCTTCAAATATTGCCACACGTGCCATCGAAGTACTTCGAAGGAATACATTGCATGCAATCAATGTTGGTCGGCTCGTTTTTGCAGCGGTTACTGTAAGGATATGAATCGAAGTCATCAATTCGAATGTGGTACATGGTTTCGAGACATTTCCGATTTGGATATAAAATTAGCCATTCAAATGGTTTTGGAAGCAATGTCAACATTTCTTACAGTCAACCAACTGGAAAAGCACATCACAAAAGTCGTTGAATCGGAAATATTGGTCAAAGAACATCCAAATCGACCACTGCCAAAAGGAATGAAACGATTGAATAAACAGATTCCGACGAAGTGTTATGATAAAAACACACAGCTGGACTGTATAATGTGCTCAATAAATTATGACGGTGAACGTGAAAGTTGTCAGAAGGCTAGTTTGGCATATTATATGATTATGAACTTTCCAGCCGTTGCTAATAGATTCAAAACGAAGGGTCAACGACGCTTTATGAAACATTTGCTGTTGCATTTTTTGAATATTGTCATGTTCAATTCCATTTCGAAACCGTTTATGGTGTCGAGCGACAAGGAAGTTAAGAGACTCGAACGACGAATAATTTACGATGCCATTAATTTTATCAAGCGCACCCTCCACCCCCGACCAAACGTTGAAATGCATTTTATAAATGGAAACACAATACACGGCATTGCAGCTGAGGATATCAAAGCAGGTCAACAACTCTTTATTAACTTTGATCAACTCTCGATATATTATGATAAATTTGATGTGAATAAAGAAGAAAATTAAAATTGAATCAATTTATTTCATAATTTAAGTCCAACATTGAATTTTTTTCGAACTCAATTTTTTTGTTCTTTTGAACGTTAATTTTGAGGAGCACTTACATATCTTTGTCACCTTTGAAACTAATACTACCGAAAAAAACAACATTTTTTCATATGAAAATTCGTTTCGATTTTATTGAATTTTTATTATCTTTGTCAATTTTAATTACAACTTTTCTCGAAATTAATTTTAAATAAATAATAAATTCTATTGGTTTGTCTATTTTTTGACATCTAAACAAAGGTATTGCAACAAAATAAAACAGAATGATGCTTGAAAAACGAAACAACTTAAGACATCCAGTTTTATCCACATGAATTCATAAAAAATCAAAATAATTTGCATCTTTAAAAGAAAATATATATAAAATATACAAAAATTTGAAAAAAAAAAATGTAAGTATTCCTTTATGTATTGGTTAATGCTTACACGACTAGAGAATGTAGCTTTCAAGTATTCATTTCTATATGGAATGTTTGTGTTTTCAAGGTTTTCTTTAACTAAATATAGTGTGCTTTGATAGAACCGAATTTAAAAAAATCCCAAACAAGCACTCAAATTGAAGATTTGAGATTCTCATCACTGTAACCCATAGAATGATTTTTAGATAGGATAGATTCGTAAGATCTCCGCAAGATCCGGATCCAAGCGTGCGTACGTAGCCGCATGATACATACATTCGTTATTTCGTATTGCTATGGCATGCGAATCAAAGTAGGCGAAATAAGAAGAACGAATTTGCGTGCGTATTATATATGTATGCATCATGCGGCAGCGTACGCACGCTTGGATCCGGATCTTGCGGAGATCTTACGAATCTATCCTATCCAAGAATCATTGTATGCTGTAACCTTATTACTGTGGTTTACAATCGCAGGTAAAATATTTCTAATTTAGATAATCAATTCCGATAAAAACGATACCGCAAGGGTTTTTCATAGTTATTTGAACAGACAGTGTTGTTACAAAAATGTTTCGGAGCGTGTTTCATTATTATTTGAAGTATTTTGCTTTCGTTTATTAGTGTTATGATATAAACCTGATTTCTAGAGGGATTTAACCATAACTGTCGTATGAATCATGTGTCGCGTGTTAGATTTTCGGAACATACAGTTTGTTCATTTTGAAACCGAAAACGAGAAAACAATGAAAAGTATAGTAATAAGATTTCAGCTTCTTTTTGCGCTTTTCTAAACCTAACCTTTTTTAAATCGTTTTTTTTAAATATTTTTTTGGAAGCGAATTAAAAAAAATATTATATTAATATTAATCAAGCTTTTTATTTAAGATAATCTCGCCAATTTACAACATCCCTACATTGTGGCGCTTCGTTGAATTATAAAAATATCCCTTAGTCATATGCTTGAATCTAATCTTCGACATTGAAATATCTCAGCAAATCGAGAAAATAATATGTTGGTGCGTAATCGATCGCAACTATTAAAAAAAAAAAAAACAAATAAAAATGTCATTTTCAAAATGAAGCACGTATACTTAAATAAATGAGGTTTCGTTTCAAAAGCCGAAATATCCACAACATAAACTTAAAAAATAAAACTTTGATTTGGAATGTTGATTTTGTAAATCAAGTCTCTTCAGACATCTCTTTTTGATCATATTTTTTATCTTAAATGCTCAACTTATTGCTTGTGTATATCGATGGTTTGTGTGTTACATAAACGTAGAAAATAAACAATAAAAATGTATTCCGATTGGTTTTTGCATTCAATTTCCATTTTCTGAACTTTCCATAATACGTTGGAAAAACGATACCAGAACAAAAGATGATGGATATAAAAGCCGCAAATAAATTTAATTTCTAAGCTAGACCCGCTTCAGTGCAAATGTAAAAAGTTGATTTGAAGTTTTGACTTCTTACACTAGAGTACTCAAAAACCGTTTTATATAAGAAAAAGCGAATTTATGTACAAAGTTGTACTCCCACTGTCAAATGAATCAATGTTAGGGGGTAATTTATCAAATTATCAATATTAGTATTTGTGTGTGTAACATTCTTAAGCATTCGCGTTACGGTTAGTGAGCAAAATTTATGCGGAAAAAATGGAGCCGAGTTGAACAAACGAACTTTTTTAAAAATTTAATTTTAAAAACGATTTGTCGATCGCGATCGACTCCATCTGGTGTTCCATTGTCGAAAATGCTAGGATGTACTTGGTGCAAGCATATCACTAATGCTGTGCCGTTGTGACCGAGACAAGCGTCGCATTGGTGTGGTAACCGACGAATTTACCGTTTGCTGATCGTGATGTGTTTCTGGGCTAAATCGCACCCGACTTTGGGATGATATCGATCCTTCTCTCGCACTCAAATAGCTGCTGTCATCACTAGTCAAACTGTCCGATGGAGTCGTTTTTGTCGGACTACTTTTATGTGGTACTGACGATTGTTGTTGTTGTTGCTGCTGCTGCTGCTGTTGTTGCATTGTTAAACTACTTGTACCAAAGCGTGGGCTTGAATTTGAATATTTTCGCAAGCTAGATCGTAATTTTGTATTTGCACCAATTTCAAATGGTAAACTATCCGGTCTTTCGAATTGCGTTGATGCGTATTCATTTGCCGTTGTTGATGTACTCAAGTAATTCGATCCAACATCATGTTGTCGAATGAACGGCACATTTTCGTACGATCGCATGCGATTTGTATAGTTTATCGGCGATGTTGATGTCATTCGATTTGGCGTTTGATTTATGCGTCCATATTGATAGTTTGGTTTTGTTTCATCATGTTCAACTGTTGCATATCCGCCAACATTTGATGATATATTTGATAAAGTTCGTCGATGATGATGTGATGCCGCTATGCCCATTTGCGGTGGTTTTCGTGCTGGTGTCATCGTTCCCATATTTCTTACGTAATTTAAGTAGCTAGGGCTTGTCGGGTTGTAATATGGTTCACGATGTTCATGATAAGTTGTGGTTTCATAGTCGGGATATGACTTGTAATCTCGCTCAAAGGCCGAATTCACCTCTGGCCGATATGGGAAGTAATTCGATCCTGCAATTCAAAGTGGTCACATTAATTTTCGAACGAACGATCTTCATGAAAGCGAACTCTGGCTCAAAACTCTTGCAAAAGAGTTTTTAAAAAACCGTCCTTTTCGACAGGCAACAAAATTATTTTTGTCTAAATTTTTCAAATATAATTGACTCACCAAAATAGCCGTAATTTCTATGTAAGTTGTCATCATTGCCCGGTGTGCGATTGAAATAGTGTGAAGTTTGGTTGGGTAAACGATAATCGGAGTAACTTCCAATAGTTGAATTGTAAAGTGCTGCCGGATTTTCATTATCTTCGTGCTCCGGCATTTCAGCAACATCGACAAATGAATTTGAACTAGTCTTTCGTCTTGGTGATGGTGTGTTTTGTGTATTGCTTGAACCTGATGTGGTGTAATTGGAGCCCAAACCCGACGTTGTTGAAATAGTCGATGTTAAATATGAATCGGTAAATCGTAGCGATCGTTCCTCATTCATTCCGGTGAGTGACGATAAGTTTGATCTGTAACAATATTGAAAAAAAAAATCATTCTTTCTCCACAAAACTGTGGAAATGTGTTTCGTTATATGGTTACATAGATTTCTTGCCATACCTCACATGCTTCGTTGGTCCATGGTATGTATTATGCGGGAATGTACGTTGTGGTGTAGCATATTCATTGGGTACGCGACCCGTATAGTTGTCACGGTCACCATTCTCTTCGCTCTCGTTAAACATAATATTTGGCTGTAATTTTGGATGTACGGGCGATACATTTGACAAGCGAACATCATATCCAGCCGCAACCGAAGCTAATATGGATGCCATATTATAAAATACAAGTTGGGTGATTGAATTTTTCGCTGGTTTTCGTTGGTGTCCTTCTGATGAATACAGTGTTGGCATTGGAATATTCTTTTGTGCTGGCAACAAGTGATTTAATGACGCATTCAACGGTGATTCATTACCTGTACACCATTCATCTTGATAATAGTCTGTGTGTTTCGATTTTAACAGTTTTTTTTTTCATATGGAATGCATGCATATAGAGAGAAAAAAGTGTACGAGTACACATCAGAATCATTCTCAAAATAATTGTCTTTTTATTCGAGTTGAAACTCTCATTACTACCAAGATAACTCAAAAATTAGTTGGAATAAGCAACGATTACTAAAGCAATACATTAAAGAAAGTTCCGAATCGGAATTCCTTAAAGAAAAAAACAAATAAATCATTAAACATTATTCTGGTTAAAATGAAGAAAGTAAATAAATAAAAATAAATACCACAATTAAGTTTGTTTCCATAAAATAAAATGATCTTTTTAATAGTGTTTTGGGGGTAAATAATAAAGCGATACAATTTTTTTAAAAGAATCTTTTTGTGATCAATGTAAATTGTTTTTAAATTAAAACTACTTTGAAAAATGTATGTGAAAACACAAAACAGAAATTCGCAAATTATATTTTAAATTTTAAAAACAAAAAGAGGATAAAAAAATACTTATTTTGAACGAAATTTTTTGTTCTTTCGAAATGGTTTTTTGTTTGATTTTTTTTTAAAACACAAAATGAATGAAAAGAAAGTAGATTAAACAAATTCAATTCGAATGCTTAAATGTCTATTGTAGTTTTGTTGTATAATGTGTTTGATAGAGCTTTTCTGACGCTTTAGTACCGGCACCAATTTTTTTTTAGAGAAATTAAAAGCGAAAATCTCTTTCGAAGAGAAAGTCTTCGACTCAACGATTAAACTCAGTTCATTACATTTTGGCTATAAATTTTCTGAGTTCATTATGTTTGTTACGTAGTAACTTACTACTCATAAAAAAATTTAACGTTATTGCGTTCTTTGTTTATATAGAATTATCAGTTGGTTAATCATTGTAATATTATTGTAAATAAATTAAAAATTTTAATTACTAAATTAAAATGAGTTTGGGTTAAAACACATTTTGTTTCAGCAAATCTAAAAGAACAACCATACACCAAAATAGTAGTTTGATTGTATTTATTCGTCAAAAATAAAAGATAATTGTCATAAACGATGTATATGACTTGCAATATTAACCAAATTAAAAACAGAGAAATTTTCCATTTCACGCGTTGAATGTGCGTTGAAAAGTAATAATTCGACCAAAAGCATATTCTGATAATTCAATAGTGGAAAAAAATGAAACGTGACTCGTGACAAAAAACACAACCTAATAATAATTTCATTGGCAGCACGACATATCGCAAGATGAAACTCTGTCGAAACACATTACACATTTAACAATAATAATTTTTTTTTTTTTGCATAAACATACAGAATTTACGAACGACATTTCATTTTTTTGTATCAAATAAATAATTAAAAAAGGGAAGATAAACTCACGATTAAACGCGACTTCAAATATTTGTAAAACTAGCAATAAAAACCAAATAATAATAATAAAAAAATAAAATGAACATAACTTTCTCTTTCTACTCAAAAGATAAAAAAATTGGGAAAGTTTAGGTGCTATTTTCTTAAACTATATGCTGCTTTGAATTCTGCACTTTTATCCGTTCAGAACAATCTAAAGTTTCGTGTGTTTTTTCTGTCATCAACGATGATATACAATGTTTTTAATATGATTTTCTAGTATATAAGAGTGAAAACTATGCAAAGATTTATCTTTTTTTATCTAAATTGTGTGTGTGTCGCGCAGAGTTACGTTTTTCACACTGGAGGTGCGCGCACATAGTAGACTTCGCACTCATAAACTATGTGCGACTTCTTACATAGAAGTTTGACAGTTGTCGAAAAATTCAAAACTGATATTTGAAATGTCAAATTTCTATTAAAATGTGTGTGCACATTGAAAATAAAAGCATTGTGTGCGTGGTACACAGTTTGTGAGTGCGATGTCCACTATGTGCACGCACCTCCAGTGTGAAACACACAACTCTGGTGTCGCGCAAAAACTTGATATAGAATTTAGTTGAAATGCAAGACGTAACACGCATGAATAATCAAAATAGAAAATATATATATGTGTGTTTATCTAAGGAGAACGGGGATTGATTCTCGATTAAATATAGTTGTAATTGGAAATGCGTTTGCCATGATGATGTGTCTAGACATTCTGAACAATTGCATTTTTCTTTTAAAAAAGACTGTCTATCTAAATGAATTTAAAAAGAAATGGATCTATAGAATATTTCACTCGGTTTGAACGACACGATTGAAATGCAATCCTTTTGAACTGGATCGATGTGAAATTGGCATTTCTTCTTCAAAAATTATCAAATCACAGGTGTGGGCTTAAGCGAATCTCTTTCTCTCTTTGTGTATCTGTTTAAATGTGCGCGTTCTCCGTACAGTATCATTTGGGCCAATGCACATCAACACATGGCTATAGATTCTGCAAGACTAGCTTACATTTTTATTTCGTATCATGCGGAAGAAATTTTTATGCTTAATATTTGTCCATTAAAGTGGTGCACAATGTTTATCATCGTCTAAAAGTTGTTCGTTCATATCAGTTTTTGAGGTTTTTTTACGCGAAAAAATGTGCCAATTTATGTACTTTGATTGTTTTTCTTTGTGCTCTATCTTCGGCAATGTCGTTTTTTGCAAACTATTTGAATGGGTTTGCATCGAATCGGTGTGATTTGAATGTGACCAATTGCCATTGGTAATGATGGCATAAGTTTTTGTATTTGGATATGTTGTTATTTTATTCGATTCAATTGATGCATCGCTGAGCAGTGAGTATTGCGCTGAACCGTCATCATCGCGGAATGTGACTGAATTTTTACGTGATGTTAATGCTGTATCGGATGACGAATGCGTTTGTTCGTCTTGATAAATGAGCTCTTCGCTTGAAAATTTATCGGAATCGTTTATGTTTGGATGTTGTTCATTATTAAATGATAGCTCAATACTTTTTTGGCTAAAATCATGATTTGTACTGACGCCCGCATCGAACGATGAATCGTTTTCATTGTCACTTGGATTTACTAAAAAACATTCACGATCAAAATGTTGCTTTTCAAATGGTTGATTTGGACAATGACCATATGCCATCGAAATGTCGTCCAAACTTTTTTGAATTTTACGGAAAAATACACGATCATACGGTACATCGGCCGTATTAGGATCAATATTTTGTCGTGTTGTTTCATTTTCAACATCGTCTTGAATGTATGCAGCAAAATTAATGGGCTCGACGGCGATACAAATTGTCGGATCTAAATTTGGATTTGGATTGGTTTCAACCATTTTACTATCTAAACTATGCTTTTTTCGCTTTGAAACGATAACTGTATCGTTTCGACCAATAAAATTAAAACAACCCGGTGTCGCCTCATCTTCATCATCGTCATCGTCGTACAATTGTTCGTTGTACCTTGCATATCGATTGCCATTACTTAAACAATCAACCGAACCTAACTTAGTCGAATTATTACTGTAGTTGTTGTTATTTTTTTTTATTATGTTTAGACCATCTACGCTTTTACCTAAGAATGACGACGCGGATGCGTTGGTCGGTGAATCGTGTCCAGCGGGTCGGGATTTATCCAAATTTGGCGCACTTTTACTGAAATGCGATGGATTTTGCGTCGATGTTTGACTTAAAGCAGGCAAGTAGCCACGTACACGTGATTGATGCAGTGTTGATGGGCCCCATGTTTTCCCTTTTATACCATCAGCTGGTACTAATTTAATTGGCAAACATACATATATAAGAAATTTTTTCGGTTTTTTGTATTTCGTTTGAAAATTGAAATTTGTTTGTTGGTTTGTTATTGATCTTATTTGGATCGGTTATTTGTTGTTTTTCGACAATTGCTACAAATATTTTTGATGTTGACAATAGACAGTGGAGTAGGCAGAGACAGTTATGAGGAACTAGTTTCAATGAATGGTTTTTTTTAGTAAATTTTCGAAGATGGTAGAATGAATGATATCTTCAACTACAATATATATAAATGATTAGCTTGTTGTCAGTCACCTTATTTTAGTTTTTCTATTTTTTACAGCATTCATTATGCATTCAATATTCAGGTTAGAATCCATACACCATATAGTATATTAGTTATGTCTACTGGATAAAATATGATTATTGATTTCTTGGGTTTTTCAACAAACAAAAAAATAACTATGTTGTTAGCTTGTATTTATCCATTTATTACGTTCTACATGTCTGTTTCGGGGCAATTTAGTACTTTGTCATTATTCAGTAATGATCGAAAATGTTAACAATCGAGGAGTCAAACCAAAGAACATTTATTAAGTGGTGTTATAAAGAACGAGTAAATGCTGAACAAAAGAACGATTTGGGGGCAAAAAATTGTAAGTAAATTAGGTAGCAGCATATGGCTTTTGTAAAGAGCAAAATGATTTTTGTTGGCCCAATTAAAAAAAAACATACACTCAAAAACTATGCTACTCTATAAATAGAAAATGATAACGCTACACACACACCACACCACACCACAATGGGCTAGAAGCATTTACATCACTCATAGCATTTGCAATTTCTAATTTCTTAAAAAGCTATTACATTTTGTAACAAAACACACAGAGTGAAAAAACCAAATAATTTACTACAGTGATTATGTTTCAGTTTTATGTGTTGTTCGTGTCATAATTTCATACAAACTTGAAATTCATTTAAGTGCTTCCGAAAAGCTTATGAAGAAAAATTGCGAAAAAAGATACCGAACCACAAAAAGCTCATTCACTGAATAAGTGATAAAAGTTGCCATGCCTGTGGTAAATGTTACATTTTTTAATGGTGCATTGTGGAGCAGTGCATATTTTATTCGATACATCTACAAGTCAAGAACGATATAACATGAACAGCAAAAAATAGTGAATGAAAATTTGTACAATGAAATGCCATGCAAGAAGAAGTGTGTCTATTGTAACTCAAAAACAATTGCAAAAGTAGAAAGTCACGTACAGAAAAAAAAATTTACGATTAATTTGAGAGCGAAATTGAGAAACTTACGTGCAATACGGAGCCTTGATGCAGCAGGTGAACCAGGTGGTGTACGTTCGGTGAATTGCACTGTCTATAAAATAAAATGATAAACGAAAATTTAGTATTATTGAGCATTTTTCTCTCGCGTTCGAGTCAAATACATACCAAAGTATGACGGAAGTCAGATGGCAATGAAATTTGTCCTGGTTCCCGTTTCAATAGCTAACAAAGTGAGAATGAAACAAACACAAAATTTTATAATGCTGGAAAATTTGCTAAGGCGGAGAAAATTCGTGGTTTTTCGAGCTATGTCATAAAATTGAACGATTTTATCATGTTTAAACAAAATTCAATCACAAAGTTTATAAATAGAAATATTACATTGGGAATTTCACGTAGAACAGATAATATTTGGCGCTGAAATTTCAGATGGCGTTACACATAATGAAATTATTGGATTTGTACGGGGCTTCCCATAGGGTTCAATAAAATAGCTACGAATGGAGATATCATTGACATGTTTATGTCGGATGATAGTACTATTGATGACACTTTTAAAAGCAACCATACTTTTTTTCGGAAAATAAAACTTGGACGAAATTCTCATTTTTCTAACACGACAACAGTCAACAAAAGAGGAAGTAAAGGAAAATAACATGCTATTTTTTCAATTCTTTAGGGCATGTACTTTATCCATATTTCTCAAAAAAAATACTATCGAGAAACATGATATTCATATTTCAAATGTTATGTTTATTTATTCATACTAAATGTTCGCGTAGCTCAAAAGTATCAATAACACTTAGTATATATAGCACTTTGATTCTTTTAATACCATAAGTTAAATATTGAAAATAAATGTTTGTTAAATATTTTCGTGATTTTCGCCAATTTGTGTTGATTTGAAATATACTTAATTGAAAAGCATTTCTTCAATGTGTACGATTTAAAGCCCTATTGTGCCCATTTAAATGCGAGTTTAAAGAAGTTCAACACTTTTTCGCGTAAACTCATATGTTTCATATGAACGGCGTCAAAAATTTCCGGCACACATGATAACATCGTTCATTGTACTTTGCATTGCATCAAATATATTCCACGATACTTTGTGGGAATTTTCATTACTTTCAGTCTGGTTTTGCTGAATTTGCCACGTCGTTTTTGTGGCTTTGGTGTAATTTGTATAATCTTCATTTCCAATTCACGATGCAATATTTCGAGTTCACGTGCATCCAATGCCTCTTTCATTTTCTCCAATCTCTGCTCCTTTTCCAGTTGATGCATTTCTTTTTTCTCTAGTTCATTCTCTTTGCAGCGTAACTCCTGTAAATTTCAACAAAATTTATCAATTTTTTGCATTCTTGATTTACTGTGTATCTATAAAACGGAAAACATTGAATGTGCAACCAATAAAATATCGCAACCAAATAAAGATAAAATTTTGTCATAAACAACAATAAATAACTCAAAACAATAAGATAACGAAACTGCGTTTCAAATACGTATTTCAGCCATTTCAAACATTCAACATAAGGGATAATAATATAAAACGAAAGGAATATGTTTCAAACGAAATATATTAAATTAAAATATAGAACACAATGAAAAAAAGATGATGGAAAGCGTTAAAAGGAACGCTAATTGCAAATGTATTGATTCCTATTACATACCTCTTCAAACGACTTAAAAGCCTACTCACAAGCATTTGAGAGCATTACAATATTTGCATGAAAAAAGGTTGAAATGAAAGAAAGACACAACGATGGAAAGAAAAAGAGACACAAAGAGAAAAGATGAAATTGATTTTTTTTTAGAAAATATACTTGTATCCTTCAAGTTAAAAAACACGTCATCGATTGCTGCTATTTATTGATTGAATGTATTTTTGGTGAGTTTTTTATGGGATGATTTTACCTTTTCTTTTATACGCAGCTCTTGAAGAACTTCAGCAATTTCCTTTTTCCATCCATCTTGCATCGTATGGAATGATTCGTTTGGCGTCTCTCCAAAACCAGACTCAGCAATTACATCCAACACCCGTAAAATTTCTCTGAACGATGGTCGTTTGTGGGGATCTTTATTCCAGCAGCCTTTTATTATTGATTAAAAAACAAACGAAGTGTATTAGCTTTCATGTGGAAACTAAATCCATACAACATAGTACAATAATGATATAAATAGAACTTTGTTTGCATCAATACTTACTTTTCATCAATTTTCCCCAGCTTTCTGGGCATGTTTTTGGTATCGGTAAGGCTAATGTGCTCAGTGCAACACCATATGCGATCGACATATATTCGAAACCTTTGTATGGAATTTCACCCGTGAGCAATTCCCATGATAAAACACCATAACTCCATACATCCGATGCTCTGTGAAAAGCAAATACATTGAGCTTAAATTCCTAATAACTTGATACGTGATTTTTCATCATCAAATAATTAAAATTCGATATTGTGATATGAGATTTGATTACATAGAAACGGTTTTCCACTTACTTGGAGTAATTGCCATCTTTGATTGTTTCAGGAGGCATCCATGCTGCAATTGGAAATTATTTAGAAAAAAAAAATAATCGTGTTTGTTTTTATTCAGAAATCATACCAAATGTGCCCGCCGCCGACATTCGTGTTGTATTGTATACTTCGCGCGCTAATCCCAGGTCCGTAATTTTAAGCGTTTTATTTCGTAGATTGTCGTGTTCCTCGATTGGTTCGCTTATTAACACTATAGAAATGAGCAAAAAAAAAAATTAGAATTTCATGTCAGTTTTGCTTGTTTTATAATTAGAGTTTCTTAAAATTGAAAATCGTTTAAAATGAAAACAAAGGTCAACAGTGATAAGGTTGATATCTATTATCTGTATGCTCATTTGCGTTATTACATCGATATCAAATTTTCGCCCACATTTCTTGGCAAACATTCTTCTGGGACATTTTGAGAATGAAAAAAAGTTGACGCCCGTCACAACACTCGTACGTCATCACGTTTGATTAAATTATATGAGAAACTTGCGTTTTTTAGATTCGACAAATGGTTGATTGTTTTAAACATATTTGCCAACGATAAAAATTCATTTTATTATTCGTAGATAAAGGAAAACAATCTCCTATGGTAGTTAAGCATTTCTTAGAATAAAAGGCTCGTCACATTTAACACTTTATTTCACTTGATCATATATGCAAACGTTGATTTTTTTATCACCAATGAAATATAGAATTATGCATTAATACAATAAAATAAAATGTGCATTATTATGAATTAATTTCATGGCTAATTCGAACATATGTAAATATCTTTAAGTGAGATGCTCAATAAAGACGTTTTATGACATTATATCTATATCCAATACTATCTGTTATGTGCACTTTTATCATACTCCTACGGGTGAGCATAAATAATTGAAAAAAAACACACTAAATGAAATGATGAGAACCAGTGTAACTCACACAGTCTATATATCTTGTATTGTGCAAGGTAGTATCTAAAATACTGTATCTTTGAAGAAAGTGTGATTCACTTTTCAGATTTTGATTGTGATCTGTTTGAATGTCTAATGATCCTTAGCGATACGTTTAACTAACGCTTTTATTGTTAGTTTTTTTATTCAATGCCACGATGCATGATAGTATATCACATACTTGTTTCTACTTTGTTTCCCTCGTATTCTTCGATTTTTTTTGCTCATCCTGTTCTCTTTTCACTGCAAATTCCGGTTATTTTATATAGGGGCGCATTATATTAAACATTATCATTGTAATACTTTGGCTAACTTCTAGATATTAAAAAACCACATTCTAAATACCAAAATTCTCGGAATGAAAAATCTCGTTTTTAAATCGAAATTAAATCATCAAGTTTTTTCGGTGAATATTCAAAACTGCGTTTCCGTGTCGCCAATTCCGCTTTTTTCGAGAATTGCCAGATGATAAGACAAAGACATCTTATGAAACAAAATTGTATCACAGGAATCAAAACTGGGTTTTTGCATAAAGAAACAATGTACAGTTGCGAAAGGTAACAATGTATACGAACAGAATGAAATAAATAACAGTATAGCAAATGAAAATAAGATGCGAGGGTTTTCCCAGTATTCACTAAAATCGCTGATTACGAGTTTAAGTTCACTGTATTTCATAATGCTTATCGAAATTCGGAATATATCTTCATTTTATTTTCCATCTGCGATCGTATTATTTTGTTGACCGTATGCACTATAAAAAGTGTCGAAACACTAAAACACCAAATCAATAAAAATACATCCAATGTAAACATTTTTTGTTTATAATTTTTGGACTAAACAAATGGCATAGAAGTTAAACAGAAATGAAGTTGTCAAATTGTCTGAAACGAACATGAAATAAACGAAAGCGAATAGAGAAAAGCATTGTTTTAAGTTCATTTTCTGCGCAATTAGCTAATTGATGGGTTTTCCGTTTTTTTATTTTTGATCTAAGCATTTAAGTTTTCTGTTTTTTAATTGGCAAAGCCAATATTCGAGAATAATAAATTGTGTATACGTTTTCTTGTATCAAAAATAATGTGAACTTGAATAAGAAACAATATAATTTCGTTATGAGTTAACCTAATATTAATATCTTCTATAAAAAATGTAAAGTTTAAAATTCGAATTAACATTGTGCTCAATTTATTAGCGATAAAAATTCAAATCCAAAATAAACGCAACACTATCAACTTATTATATTACATTAACCAAGATTAAATGCGATATAAAGTTATTTCAACATATATAAACTCTTTCAAAATTGAATTCATTTTTATTTTGATAAGTAAAAGTCACATAAAGTTCGTTTACGTCACTGAATCATAATTGTTGACGTCATACTCAACATGCCCGATGAAAGTCTCAAGTGAATGAATTTATTGCGGTTTGCACACATATCACTTGAATTGACAGAAACTCTCACAACCGAATGAATGAAGTGATTTTATTTTAAAACATATTATATCCAAATAAAATAGTTACTTTGAAATCATCTAAATAGAAGATAAAGAGAGTCGTAGGCAATTTTGTTAAGTGATGAAAGATTAAAAATCTTCTATCGAAAGTAACAAATAAGAATACAATGTAAACAAGAACCAGTTATAAATTGAGCTGTGACTAAGTTGCATATGATAATTTTGAGGTCCATAAATAAAGTTCTTCTTTGAGACGATTCCATTTAGTTTGTTTATAATTTTTTTAAGCATCATTTACTGCTGTGAATAAATCAATTGAAATGTATCAATTTATTCACAAATAGATTTTATTCTTCTTCAAATAGACTTATCGAAGCTAAAAAAGAGCTAAAACGCAATAGATCACATTTCATACTCTCCAGAAGTATATTCATTATATTGATATAGTTTTTATGTGATTCTTCAAAAATAGTTGGATGTTTACACCGTATAGTGGTGTAGATTATAAAAGTCAACTCGGACCCGTTAAATTCATTAAATTCAGCTCTTTTCCGCATTCAATTTATTTTATTTATGCTTCAAATCAAATATTTTGATTATTTCTGTGTAATAATTGTTGCTAAAAGTAAATCAAATCAATTGATTTGAACCGTTCGTCTCAAATCATCCTTCTAAATATCACATTTTGAAAATAAAATCGCGTTTTTGGTCGATTTTTTAAAGAAATAAGCGATATTTGCAAATAAATGTGATTTTTTCTTAATATTCAAAGTTCACTATTTAGGTGCCATAACTATGATTTTTACTTGGCGCTTAGAGCAGAAGTGTGCGTTCTCATTGATTTTGGGTTGAATCGTTGAATATAGTGAAATGCTGCTTATGTTCCTTCATTTGAATGCTAATTGGCTTCGATTAATGGTAATTTCATTTCTACGAATTCGATGCTGGGCATGTGTTTATATGTTCAAACATGATTACAGTGACACAATTCTATGTGTCTCTGTCTGCTTCTCTTTCGATATTCATAGAACGAAGTATATCACTTTAACGAACCCTTGATTAAATGAAATATCGGTTAAGCGAAGAAAAAAAGGCATACACACACTGTCGGTGGCAAGACATTCGTTAGAAAAATCGCATATCCAACAATTGTTAAACGAGGCGACGGTATCGAACACGTGCATATGCCTAACATAAAATAAGTATGAGCAGCTGTTTGTTATTAAGTTTACATTCAATTGGTCGCGACAATTTCTTTTCGTTTTACAGATTATTGCAGTGGCACAGGTCAAACGATTTTAATTTATATTTCCGTTCCGAAATATCTAATGGTTTCATATTGTCTTTTTTTTATCTTTTCATGGAAAGCGACGCCTTAATTTCATAATGAACTGAATTGATTTTTGATTGGATGTGTTCTTGTGCTCTAATTCACAAACGAATGGAATCAAGGCTGAATGATATTATGACATTTCACTGTATAATTCATGTGAAGTCCACATTGGGCATCAATTAATTAATTTTATGACCGACAGAATAAGAAAAACTAAAAAATAAAATGAAATAAATTTATGCAAACTAAGAATCAGCAAAATTGTCACTTTGGCATTGCAAAATCCCTCAAATTGTAATTGAATATTATATATTATAAACAAAACCTATTTGTTTCAAAGTGCAGACAAACAACTTTTTGCAACAACAACAAAAAAACGTGGTTTGTGTACAATTGGTTATTGCGACTCGATTACGCTTGGTACCAATGACACCAGCTGATACGGATTTCATTTCGTATGTACATGATCAAAAGACACCGGACTATTGTTTAAAAAAATATATATATAAACTTTCACTATCACAATTTAGTGTGCTCAATTCGCGACGTTCTGGGAAAAATGCACGTTTGTGGGCCGCTATATAAAATGGCACGTACAAAATGCATTCAATTTTATTCAGTCCACTTCATTTACTCTACGTATCGTTTTCTCGTTCTCATTATTTTGCTCCTTCGCTCTTCCTAGATGTTTTGTATTTGCTGTTAAAAATCGCTTTTTTTGTTCATCCAATTTGGATATACTATATGCACAAGCAAATCAACAAAAAAAAAAAAACAATTAACATTAACGCAAACCCATGAAATGTTTGTTTGTTTGCGATGAATTTCGACGTTATATATCAGTTGTGCGCCCAATTTCCATTTGTATTTGGTCGGTGTCTTTGTTTGGCCTCTTTTGTGTTATTGTTGTTTTTATACCGATGAATATTTTAACAGCATTGATTGCATGGAATCCATTGACCAGTGGTTGAAAGTGAGCCTGAACCGTAAATGAGCGGCCAAACAATTACAAATGCACCGAAAAATAAGGCTAAATTGAATTTTTAATTAGTTGCCACATGAGAGAGCAGCGAATAAACAATGCCATGACCTGAAGTGTGGTGGCCGTACGCCACTATGAAAAATGATGGTAGCAAACGAAGCGCGTGATCACGTGCATTCGTTTGTTACTTTACATGGGTCACAAATCGCAATTGTAAACATTGCAAATTAGCATGATATGCTCTGAGGCCAACCGCTCAAATGCACACTACTCTTAATGAACTCATATAAATGGTTTTATTTAGTGACAATGTCGACGACAACGTTGCATTTTTTTTGTTCTCATTCAAACTGATCAAAGTGAGTGAGAAAATAACACTTTAATAAACTAAATCCACATAAAGTGTTCAACGGTAAATGTCCTTAATAAATGGCAAAAAGTAAACAAAATTATATATAGAGTCCATTTTTTTTATATTGGGTGAGACTACAAAGGAGAAGGTAACGAGCAAAACAAAAGAAGAATCTGAATCGAAGCATTGTGGCAATCATCACGACAATAATAAATAAAGAACGCTGTGTATTTTTGCCATATATAAAACAATGAAAAGTGCACGACTTCGATTGCCAATTGTGCTGGATATACGGGAACAATGAACACATACGGAGGCCAATTGGAAATAAACAGGTGGCATTTTTGTTGTTCTTTTTCTACTTAATCCGAGTAAATCACTGTCATTTCTAAAATTATGCATTTATTTTGTGTTCTTTATTATTGGATAATGCGGTAATTTTTGCCTGTTTTACAAATGTTTTCTTCCTAAATTGCTTTTACGGCTGCGCTTGAATTCGTTTCATTTCGAGAGTGCGATTTTTGTTATTTATTATATGAAAATTAAACCGTATGGACTTTGACGTAGTTTGTTATTTCAAATTTTAGAGACCCATTTCGAATTTTGTCCTTTGTACATCGCACATAATCGTAACTAAATACTAGACGAAAATAAAAACATGGCCATGTTTATCAATACATAGTGAAACCGACTTTATTGGTTTCCGTGGTTTTTTTTATCAATTTCGGTACTTTTTTGCTCGTCGCCTCACTTCGGCATGTTTATTTTATGAATCGTAAATACGATTTATGCACTGATTGCACTTCAGAGTGTACACAAAACTAATTACATATCCATATAGTTTTTAATGTATAGAAAAACGATATTGAAACGTCGCATTTACGTTTTCCATGAAGTTCGATGTATCGAATCAATAAAGAGTTTTTTTTATTATTTTGTGAAACGAACTAATTATCTTGAGTGCTTCTTCCTTGTGTGTGTGCACTGTGCACCGACTAATGAAGAAAGTGTTCGATGACGGACAATAAATTCGTTTCATTGTGGATAAAATACAACATTTTGCAGCCGATAAGTCTGGGTGGGAAAAAAGACAACGACAATTTTGCTTTCTTTTATTATTTTCTTATTAAAGTTTGAACGGATATGCGAATTGCAAGCATTTTATTTTGGTGTTGTACGAAGAAGACCAGCAAATAGATTTATCTTGAGGTCTTTTGGGCATTATATGAATTCACACACATAAAATTGAACCACATGAGTGTAGTGGTCATTCAGTGGTTCCCTCTCAATGCATTTTATTCCGACATTATCTTGATGTTATGGGACGGTTATAGTTTAGCACATTCATAACGAAGAATAAGTTGATTTTACGGCAGATGAGAGATAAAGATAGATAAAGAGAGGCAGAAACAGAGGTAGAAGGGGAAAAAATCGATAATTTTGTCTCGAAATTTGCTTCCCACAAGAGAATAGCATGTTTGCTAACACTTCAACAAAGTATCGACACTTTTATTGCTGGACAGTTTATGAGTTCCTTGAGCATTTATGCATATATCCATTGAATATGGAACGAGATATGTTCTCTGCCTAGTTAATATGGTATCGAAATCGTTGTTGACTTATTAATCGGCGGGAATCTTCATTATTGTTTTTACTTTTCATTTATTGAAGTAAAACGTTTTTAATAAAAACATTTTATGATCCGTTATAATAAACAAATCGCAATAAAAAACATTTCCATGTAATAAACTTGTGCGAAATTATAATTTATAAATGCGGTAAACATCAATATTATGGAATGAATTATGACTGACAAATCGATTGATTGGAATTCGTTTTTTTTCTCTTGTATAGACTCAGGCTATTTTTGGATGTAGCAAATAGTAAACAACGATATTGTATATGCAATTTCATGAACGTTAACGGTAAAATTGTTTCGTGTTTTATTTCGTGTGTTTTTTTTTGTGTTCAAATGTGCCAAACAGTGTTTTTAACAGCGAAATCAATTTCGCCGAATGTATATACATGGTTGCGTCAAATATTCAAGTTGTTTTGACCATTTTTGCACAAATAATGGGGAAAAAAGTTGGGAAAAACCATCGATTAAATTGTGTGTCTGTCTTTTTTTTTTTGTCCAATTTTCATACTAAATCATTCGAATCAAAGTGAATGCCTGTGTACAGTAATAACATTTTCATCTTTCACAATTTTTTTTATTACATCCATTACGTTTTAATTACATGTCACCAGGGCGATTTAAAGTTATCAGGTAATTTCATCGCGAGCGATTCGCATGGAAAGAGTTAAGTGTTGCATGCGATGTGATAAAATCATTTGAATATATATGTATACATTCTACAAAAGACGCAATAAAATAGAAAAAAAAACGTTTCAGATTTTAAATTTTTTTATGGAATTGAAATCAATTTGGCCCAATTGTATAGATTTTCTATTCGCATAAAACTAGTGACGACAGGAAATCGGCAATCTTTTAATTGATTTTCATTTACATGAGCAAACAACTAAATCTGTAATTAAATGAACAATGATTGTTTTTGGCGTTGATTAAATTCAATTTGTGAGCGCACACATTCAAAACAACAATCATTCCAGTTCAATGTCTCTTGATTACAAATGCAAACAATTATTTAGCACAATTTGGTGTGCGATACGCGCGCATGTGCGTGTGCATATGTGAGCGACAGCATTTGGTTATACTTGGTGAAAATATATGCGGTCCGGAAATGCCATCCATCGAGCGTTCAACAAAACCGTATATTTGTTTACATATGCCGTACCTAGTTTATCATTATGATAAAAAAGATATATATGAAAATGAACGAAAAGGGAAACAAGAGACACAGAAGAAGAAGAAGTGAACAAAAAAACAGCACCAAAACGAGTCAAGTAGACGGACTTGAAAAGGGAAAATAAATAAAATAAAGCGATAAAAACGGCACACAGAACGAAAACAGCAAACAGATGTTTTCGAAGCCTAGCATATATACATTTTTCACAATTTTTGGTTTCATTCAACGACGACGCCGACAAATATCAAGACGAATAAAAACAGAGTACACGCAGAAATATAATGTTTTGGCTATCGCGAGCTATGGCACCCGTTGGGTTGCGATCGCCTCGTTTTTCAACAATAACGATGCAAAAAAAGCCTTTAAGTGTGCCACATAATAGCAACGGCACAAGAACAGTAACTGAATTGAAATAAGAAATAAAATAGGTGATTTTAGGCTCCCAACTTCACAGCCAGTTTATTTCGTTCACTCAAAAAAAAAAAACCAAAAGACAGATAGAATGAGAGAAAAAACCCCATGCATAAAATGTGCTTGACGCCACATAAACCTTTATTTATTTTTGACCGATGTTTGACTATGTCGCATTCAGCGACAATATAGTTTCGCCTTTTTATTTCTCTTTCTCACTCACTTGGGCATGGTGTTGGCATGCATGGACCGGATTGTGTTTCGTTGCTGTATCGCCGTGTTGGCATTATTTCGTTGTTGTTGTTGTTTTCGTTTTTGCTGTTCTTGTTGTTGTTATACTGTTGTTCGATTTTGCATTTCATTCTATTTGAAATCGAAAATCGAAAATGAAGTGGCGCGACAACAAAATAAATGGGCCTTATGTAAGGTAGCTCTTCTTGTATTGTGCACATTCGTTGAATTCACGTTGAGGCGCTTGACAATTTAGTTTGTAAGATGTCGCAATGAAGACACAGGCGATAGATACGCATCAACTGACAAAATAAAATCAGCACAACATAAAAAACAGCAACAACAACGTCGACAAATAAAAGACGAAAAAAAAGATTGTGTGAATTATTCGCTTGAAATATGCTATGTATGCTGCATTAAAATAGATGGTTCGAACGTGTTTGGCCTTTAAATGAGAGACCGAAGTGAATGAGCGCCACAAACGATTCAATAGACATTTTGAATTAGCGAATGCTTAACACAAATTAACAAGCGTCAACCGCAGACACGATCACAACTAACACATTGTGAGAGAGTGTGAAATGTGGCCGACGCACACAGATGTGACAGTATTCAATTGATTTTTTTTTTTGTGTCAGAACGTTCAAGCAATCATTGCCAAGCCATTTATACATAGACATGACGCGAGATGGTTTGATTTTCTTATCGTAATTACAAAATTAAATCATATCATATAAAAAGAGTTTCACTTTATCAATATCTATATTGAATTTGCTACTTTCAAAATAGTCATTGTTCAATTTGAATGAGTCGGTCATTCGTTTGATCCATCTAAGAAATCGAACAAAAAAAATTGATTAACTTCATGTGAATTCCAATGAAATGTTCTGTATGAAATTATTTCACTTGACTTGTTGTCAATATTTATTGTTTATCTTTTTTTTGCTCTTATTGATTTTTGATATTCTTTTTTATTGCTTCCGTCATATTTGTCGAATTGACTATTGTTATATGTTATTGCGCAAAAAAAATGTGTCGAAGTTAACGACAAGGGAAAGAAGACTATGTAATCACCATTTATTAATATATTTATATCAGATGTGAATTACAAAATATCCGTTGATTGTATGACATTCAACCGTGCGACAAATGAATACTTTACATACCATCGCCTTTATTTTCATATTTTTATCATGAATCTTTTTTTTTTGGGGTTCTGAATTAAACTAAAGGGGAAAGAAGTGAAATGTAACTTACCATTTGAACTTTTCAAATCACGGTGTATCACTGATATAAGCGCTCCATTGTGAAGATAATTCATACCGCGAGCGATTTGTGTTGCCCATCCAACGAGCACGTCTGGTGGTATTTTTAGTTCGGCGAGAATTCGATTTAAGGGGCCACCTCGTGCATACTCCATAACAAGACAATAATTCGGTGATGTTAAACATACTCCATGCAATCTTACAATATTCTCATGTTTCAATGACCAAAACAATCTCGCCTCTTTTAAAACATTTTCTTTTGTTCGTTCTGGGTTTTCATCTTGATTTTGTGTCTTAATTGCTATTTCTGTACTTCGCCAATATCCGCGTCGTACCTTACTAAAGCCACCTTGACCGATAACCTCTGCTAATTGGAGTTCATTAAAATCGATTTCATGTGGTTGAATGCCGCCAATGGTGTCTGGTAGACTGTCGGTTGTCATTGGATCGCGATCGGTGACAAAATTCGATGGGAATATACCGACCTGGTCGCCAATTTTGCCCGTCCACCAACCCTCATCGCCGGATATTGCACTGTCTTTGGATAAAACCAAAACAATGGTTCCACATTTGAGCGACAATTCATCTTCAGTTTGTGCCTCATAATCATAGAGGGCCGTATACAACATCGTTGATGTTTGTTGTGAATTTGTCTCGTTGGAGTCCATTTGATTCGAGGGCTGCGGATGTGCTGGCGAATTATTGTTATTATTGTTATTATTATAATTGTATCCCGATGGTAAGACGTAGGGCGATTCGACTACCGGTGCAAAACGATTTGCACCGTGATTCTGTATTGCTTGCGTATTATTCAACTGATGTGGTGTCATTTGATGTGCAGTCGGTACAGTTGACATTTGTAGATATGCATACGGATTATTACGTTGTGGCAACGTTGTTGACATTGTTTTTTCTCTCTCAGTATCGTTATTTTGTTTTGTTTTTTTTTTCTCTTGGTTTTCTTTTGTTATATATTTGATATTGCACTAGCTACGTATAATTTTCTGGTGTAGATTCTGGTGCAATTGCAAAGGCATAATCAAAGGTCGCATTCGTTGCACACACACATTAGCCATGCAAATTTTTTTATATGATGCAATTGCAATAGCTAACACACACACTCGCATTTACTCGAACTAAAAGAAAAACACGATGATATCGGCACAATTCTATCACACGATTTTATTTAGCATTCGGTGATTGATTTATTTATGATCCGAGCACGAAAACTAATTGCAATGCGTAAAACTGCACCGCCTATCGACTGTGTGCTCAATATCGTATTATATCTATAGATATAAACAAAAACGGCAAACACAGCGGCTAATTGCAATTTCTTCTGGATTATTCGCTGTTCAATTTATCTGCTATAATGTTGTTGTTTTTTTTTTCTCATTCAAATCGATTACACTGCACTTTTTCCACTTGCTATCAACATTCGAATCTGTAAACTTTGAATGTAAAAAAAACGGTTAATGACTTATTTATCGAAGATATTACAAGCATGGTATTCAGATGATTTTCGCTGCATGCACAGTTGTTGTTATTGTTGTTGCCGTCGTTGTTGTTGATAATTCGCTACAAATATTCAATGTTTTATCCATTTAGTGGTCTTTGTACGTATACTATGTGTTCGTGTGTATGTGCATTTCATTACTATATTTATGTTGCTGAAGAATAAGCGGCCATATTTGCAATGGCGACCAAATGACACAAGTAAACTTTACTTTTTATTTTTATTTCTATCGTGTTTTACTTACTTACATCCAAAAACCACTTGAAAAACACTCAATCATGTCAATATGGGTTTTGCTCTTTTTTCGTACTATCGTCGCTAAATTACTTTGTTTTGACTGCGTTTCAGTATAATCGTTTCGAACGGGATCCAGGAATTGCACAATTTTATTTTCAATACATACACACATTTCTGTGATTTATGTTTGTGATCAATTCCAGAAGAAATAAGATCGTTTTTATGCCAAAAACGGAATTAGCCGAACGATATATTGTGATTGTGTTTTTGTGTGTGGATGAAGTGTGAAATAAAATGCACATCACCGCAGTTAAACGTCGCACATACAATAGACCCTCCTGAATGAGAATTTTAAACGAACGAAATACACAGCACAAGAGGAGAAAAAAACACACACGAGAGAAAAAGAAAAAAACATCACATAAAATTCAGGTCTATACGATAGAGATGGTGAACAACGAAACAGAAACACGTCGTACGAAGCATACCTAAAAGAGAGACTGCACATATATACATATGAAGAATCCAATCGCTAAACCACTAACATACGAACAAAACAATGAACGACATGAAAAAAGAAATAGTTGTACAAGACCGTTCGGTGCACGTAAAAATACTAGCACTCAACTGATTGAAAATTATTAAACTAATAGTAGAACTTAAAAAAAAGAACAATCAGAATGCGAGCGAGAGCAATAAAATAAAAAAAATAACAGGCAAGAGTCGATGCAAACAAAAAAACAAAATAATGTGATGTGTAAAAGATTGTCGGAAATTGAAAGAGCAAGACACAGCAACAACCACGGCAACAACAATACTCATTTCACTTTGCACACGCCATTAATGTACGATTCATTGCAAAATTCCAAATTAAATTAAATTCATCGAATGCATAAACATGCTCAATTGGAAAATGATTCCAACTAAGAAAAAAAAAACAGTGACTTTTTTATATGTTTTTTTCTATTTTGATGTGACTGACTTATTTTTCAGCACGGTTTTTTTTTGTCTCTCTTCACACACAATCTACCTGTATGAGATGAACCGACTGTCACATCACTTGTCAATTAATTTTGAGTTTTTATCCATTAAATTTTTTCTACCAAAACACTAAACAAACACTTTTAAATGATAAATTATGATAAACACAATGAAACTATTGTGATTTTTTGCAGTCCAAACACCATTGGCAATGATGTGTTTTGATTATTTTGATGCAATTTCAGTGTGTTGTCGCCATGCAATGACTACATTACACGATGCGAGCAAAAAACAAACTATACATCGCATACCATTGTGAGACACTCGAAACTTCATTTTGTGTGAATGGAATCCGTCGTTAACGTTGCGTTGCTTGACGATGACATTGCGTGTACGGAACATTTTCACCGTAGGTGACTCTCGCGTCTGTTTATATTGCCAAAACAATGGTTTTTACATCGAAACTCGTGAATTCCAATTAGCTATCTCTGTTGTCATCACAGCGTCATCTATCGGATAAAATAGAACGAACCGAAAGTAAACAGTGAAATTATTTATTTTTCTTTAATGTTTTTGCTTTTGACGATGTAATTTGAGGGATTACATTGAAATACTTTGAAGAAAATATGAAATGGAGTGGTTTTAATGCTACACAAACTATTTATTATCGAGAGCCGGATAAATGTTGAAGGAGTTTTTTATTTTTTTAAATTAAACAAAATTATTTTGCAGTGGAGTAAGATTTTAAAATGAATTATGGAAAATATGAGCGTAAAATATACGTTAATCAAAAAAAAATATTGCAAATATTACCATCCGACTTGCAGTCGATGATAAGTTATTATCTAATTGTAGTTTTGTTTATAAACTGAATATGTGTTGTTACGGCGCACACTCAGTTTCAGAAATGGACCACATTCCTGAGCCCGCTTTGTCTATGTGTGCATGCATGTATGTGTGAGTGGATAAAAAGTAAAAGTTATCCTCCCTTAAAAAATTCTCTCACAATTTTCTGCTGAAGTCACGTTTGGACAGACAAATGTGCTTATGAAACCTTAATCACAAACATAAATTGTGTGACAATCAATTTTGGCAATTCAACCGTTCTATTTCAGATCAAACCATTTGAAATGCCCCGATTTGGAATTTAAAAAATCTCCCGAATTTCATGTGGAACACTCTTTTGCTTAAAGCAAACATTACACTTCTAGCTAAAAACGTGCTTACTACTTTTTGATGGAGTGCTAGTGTATTTTCACTATTTACTATAAATGAGACGAAAAAAAAGTGGAAAAATATCGATAGCTTTGTCCTTATCATTTGGTTTATTGGAAAGGGAGACGTGATACGGAAAGCTGACTTTTTACCAACACCAATTCATTCAAGTTCATTCATTGAAAATTGTATTACACATTTTGAGAAAATTCCTCTTTCTCTCTCAATCGACGCACACACACATCCATCGACATTTTCCATATTACTGTGCATGTACGGCAAATGGAAACTGGTCCAGTTTGTGAACACTTGGAAAGTCGCTGAACGGCACGGAAGAAAGAGACAGTGAATCGGTGTATTTGTGTGCAGAGCGCAAGTAAAAGCTCACATCGAATTTCCATGGGATGTTAGGCGAAAAAATTTCACATTGCTCAGCATCATTCGGTCGTATGACCATCGAACAGACGTATAAGTATTTTCGGTCGCGTCGCGCGAGTGAGTTTATCCTATTCAAGAAAGGCATCATCATGACAATTTATCGAATTTTCATGTGAAACTAGTGTACCAAAAGTCAAAGTAAAATCTACTTTGCAACGTTTTATTATTAGTTATTTTTTCTTCTTCTTATTCATTTTGTTTTGACCGAAGAAAAATTACACAGCATTTTAACACGTTTTTATATTCGATTGTGTATGTTTGTGTTGGTGTTCTTACGACATTATTTTCTTTGTCGCATACATTTCGTGTTCTTTTTTATTTTATTTGAAAGAATTCATGTTACTCAAGATTATTTGCGAAGCTAAATGAAAACGGTGATAAGGAATTCGTAAAGTGTGAATGCGCGTGATGTGATTTTTTTTTTTTTGATGATGCTTTTTACCAAACGAAATGTTAATATTTGATTTTGGTTTTGGATTTAATATGAAAAAGGGAACCAAACTCGATGGAACATTTGAAAATACGCGGTTCGGTGTAAGTGATTTTAAGAATTTTGCGCAATGCAAATGTAAAATTTACATGTTAAACACAATGAAGTGATCGAAATAAATGTGAAGTGTCCTAGACGAATTGGAGCTAAAGCTGTGCGCAAACAGTAACAACACGTATAAAATTAAAACGGTATTATGAAATTCATGTGAAAATGATCTGGTGAAAGTATCGAAAAGATAACGAAAAAAAGAAATCAAATCGAATTTTCATACAATCAAAACGCAAAGCAAGAATATTGCCAGCGAAAATGCAATCACAGTATTCGCAAGCACATCAAAGGGCGGCTCTTCAACCACAGTCTTCAACATCGACAACCACATCAACGGGAAAGGTAATGCTTAAACCGAAATTCATGTTTCTCATATTCGTTTGTTGGATTTTGGTTTCACTAAGATTCAATGCGATCTGGCAACTGCATTAATTTGAGTTCATTCGTTGAACTGCAAGATACCATGATGAATTATTGGCTATAGCTAAGGGGATGCGATTGCCAAAGTGCGACTAGTGGAAGCTTAGAATAATTAACCATTAAATCAAGAATAGCTGTAAACGCGACGAATAAGCAAGACATGAAGACATTTTAAATGAGAAATGAGACAAAAATAAAAACCAAACTGTAAATTATGGAAGTGTTTCTTTTAGATTAAGATCAAGTCAAAACCAAAAATTTTTTTCCCAAAAGTACAAAAAGGAGATGAATAACTTAAACACTTTGTATGCTGTCTAATTTTAAAAGGAAAAAAGGCATGTATACATTACATATTAGAGGTGAAAACGAGGAGCTGCAGATGAAGAAAAAACATGGATGGAAAGAACAGTTATGCTCTGGGAAAAAACAGCAAAAGAATACCGTGTTGTGCGGAGAAAATCGTATTCAAACTGGTCTGAAGAATGTGTATTGTGGTGCGTGTACGATAGAGGAGCTTGTGCGTGTCTGTGTGTATTTCTGCTACTACTGATAGTATACCAATGTGTGCGTGTGCCAACCGTTTGTTGTCCACGAACGCATTCCAATATTTTGTGCGTGTTTTATCCACTTTATTTGCGTGCACACACGAGAATTATCTTCTAGCGTTTTTTCTTCTTCTTCAATCGGCTCGTTGTTATTATTGCTGCTGTCTTTGTAGTTGCGTTTGCCCGAATGTTTGCCTTTGAGTGTTTTTCTATTTATTGATGATTTGGTTTGGCACACAGAATATCATTCGTCTTCTCGTATGCTTTGCTGTTGTTTTTTTTTTTCATCGTCGAACACTTACATCAAATTTGAAGGGTAATTTCATTCACTTTGTCAGTTCACACAGATAAATTAAAACATGTCTGCATAACAATTAGATTGAATCCGCGAAAGCAAGAGGTATCGATAATGCCCGTGCAATCGTATTGCTCTTATGAATGTTTAACGCTTCTTTCGGGAGGCACAATAAAATGGAAAATATACCACCGAGAATGATGTGTTTTCGTTTAGATGAAAATCATGGAAATCAGCAAACGCGTATTTGTTTGTTTATTTATGAGTGTATGTGTATGTGTGTGCGTATGTATGCGCGCCGTTGTGAAAAAAGGAGCCCAAGTAAGGAAGAGAAGAGAAGAGAAGATGAAAAAACCGAAAACAACCAGCCATTATATACATTAATATATGTTATCGCTCAAATCGTATACGATATGTGTCTATGTCGCGTTTATCGTACACGCGTTTTCTACTTTTTCGACTGTGACAACCGAATCGACCGACAGTCAACTCCAGCCCGACATGGAAAATAAACGATAGCAAACGCTAAAACGCAGCACCAGCAACGAGTGAGAAAAAAAAACAACTTGGCAAACAAACGAGTATAAAAGAGATTTTCCAACAGCTTCCATCCAAGCTGAATGATGGATAGCTAGTACACGCGCTGAGAAAATGCTAAAAATGCCGAAACTTGCGAAAAGTTGTCAAAAGTATCGAGCACTCGGCAACAGCAAAATGGCAACATATAAACAGGGCACGCTTACAGCACACAAACACAAACACGGTACACCACATATATGCTCAAAGAAAACGCACCAACCCAAAGTGAAATCATCACCAATTGGAATCGTAAAAAAAAGAGTAGCAAATTTTCAGTTCTTTCTCTCTTTTTTTTATTATTATTATTTACAATGTTCCAACTCATGTCAATACAACCATTTTTCGATATGGGTTAAGCAATGCGCGTGTTTTAGCAACATTTTCTGCAACTGTGTTTTGACACACACACACATGGCAGATAAAAATGATTGTCTTTCCACTGGCGAAGAAAGCGATTGATTGATATTTTATGCTAGAATTTAGTCTTCGACGTTAAAACGACTCTCACATTTGATTTGATTCTATTGCCTCTTTCATCGCATTTTCAAGGGCTTAAATCTAGCCTGAACAAAGTTCCAAGATAAATACATTTTGCTTTTCTTTGCTCTTCTTCTATGTGTTTTTTTCTTCTCGCTAGTCTATCGATTTTCAGTAGTGTTTTTCGTTATTCTGTGAGTATTTGATCGGCTACTAGCAACAAATGTTAAGAATGGCAAATGTTTGTGTAATTTGTTGTGGGAACACACATACAGAGCGAGAAAAAAAACGACAAGAAAATCATCGAAAAAAATGAACACACAAAACGGCAGACACAGGGAGAAAGAGGTGGACAAAAAAATTGACAGAGATGTGTCGAACAATAGAATATTGGTTTTAGTAACTGATGTTCTCTTGATGTTCTCGAACTCTGATAATAGTCTATTTCCAGCATGTTTTTTTTATTTGCTTCATCTTTTTGGTTTGTATGAATGCGTTTTGTTTTGTTTATCAAATCGACCAAAAAATAATCACTTCCATACGTTCAAGTGACGCATTTTATCTTCGATACTTTTTCAACAAAATTTTATTAATTCGTTACCCTCTTTCGGAGTTAGTTGTTTGGTGAAGATGAGAACTTTTTCAAGAAAAAGTTTAGTGCAAATCAATAGGGGCTGTCGAAAGTATACGGTACTGTATTCATGAATAATGTTCGTACTATATGTGAAAAATATAAAAAAAAATCGTTAGGCAAACAAATCATTCATTGGCAAATCAATTTCTCTTCATCGTTGAATTCATGATGTTTTTTGGTTTGTTTTTATCTGCAGATTCATTTGAGACTGCGAAAACTTTAACGCACTTGTCACCCCATCGTATTGTGCTCTATCTGTGTCTCAATACCTACGAGATTCAGTTTTGTTCACATAATTTTACGGCTCTGTTGCGTATTCATCTGATATCAAATAACCACCAAATTCAGATATTTATGCTTATATGTTGCTGATGATGATGCTGCTGCTCTGCTGGTGTGGCTTAAATATATATTGGATGGCTTGTGTGACGACACACTTTATGCGTTTTTGCGATTCATCGCTTGAGTGGTGCTACTGTTACGGTTGCCAATGGTGGTGCCTTTGGTTCCACATCGAAAATGAGATAGAAAAAAAAGAAGAGCGAATTGAACGAAGTGAAAAATATGTCAACTGACACATCGTTTAACGTGGAAAGTGTGCGCGCAAATTGAGTTGGTCGTTTTGCTTTTACCCGTTGGTCGATTTTTCCCTTATCTCAACATAGCTTGACACACAATAAACTTTTGCCTTTTCAATGCTATGGCATATTTATATGTGCATGTGTACATGTATGAATGTGATCACAACGGCAGATGTCAATCCAATACGTATAATACGTAAACCTGTATCGAAATCTATTTATGTACATCAAGTGAGCGATGTGAACGAAGAGGGAAATTCCATTACGGTGTCGAAATCTGCATATTTGCGGTAACTCAGACTAGGTGAATCGAAGCTCTCTCTTTTTTCGTTTATTTTCGCACATAAAAGACACGACCTATATAAAATATTTATTACGGTTTTGGATTCCATTTTCCATATTATTTTCGCTGACTGTCATAATTTTTTTTTGAAGGTTGGTGCGCGATATATTTTTGGAGTCTCCCATTTACACTGCTGTGCTGTTATTTTGCCTTTCGATATTATGCATGTGAAAATGCTTTTAAAAATTAAGCCATCAATCAAACATCCATCATTTTTTATTGTGTTTATTTTATAGATGCGTATTATTCTCTCTTCTTCTTCCTTTTTTTCTTCCATCGAATATTCACATACATAAAAAAAAATGTAAAATGCAATTTGCACAGGGCTCATGCTATGCAAACAACAAACGGAGAAAATACAAATGTTTTCCTTTTCAATTTACAAAGTAAATTCTGGTACTGGTTTAGATTGACTTTGCAACCGATGCAATGTTGTAAATCAAATTAATTTGCTTGAATTTCGTCACTTTGATCAATTTTATAGTTTTTACTGCCTTTGCATGAATGTACATACTTGGTTCTGCTCATTTTCGATCAGGGTGTGAAAGTGAGATTGAAATTTTCCATCGTCAATTCACAGCTTGTATAATAATGTGCATTGTACCATACCGCATATAATCAGGCTATGCAGTGCATTTGTTGTCAACTGCATTCGGTGAATACTTGTCAAATGATAGCAGATCATATCGATGAACTTGTTCGAGAGAATATGACCAAGAATATAGGTCATTCGACAACTATTATTTTTGCTACGTGCAACAAACTATTGAAATCACAGCCTGTGTGTATTATATCTCTAAGCATTTAAATCAAATTCTGTCGTCGAGCTTATTCAGTTCGCGTTTTCGATTTTCGCGCTGACAACATACACCTCTCTCTCTCTATCTCTCTCTTGCTCGTTCGCAAATGGCAAAAAAATAGCAATTAAAAGCACGGAAAGTGCTTGAACTCCATTTGTCATCCCATCGGAGTGTGTGTGCATTAAAGAGAGAGTGTGTGTGTACTGTATGAATTGGTAGTCGGTACACGCGCCACTATAATCTGTATATCAGTGCAAATAATAAAACTCATCTAAACTTGATTAATTTATTCATGGAAATGTTTAACAGCTCCTGTGCCGCCGGTAAAATCAGCGCAATGAATTTCTCTTTCATTGCAAAATGCAATGAACATCCTAACTGTGTGGATTAATTACAATGCGACATACATAATATAATTTTTTTTCGAAATGGAAAGTGCATTTGCACGTTGAAATTGGTTTAATGTGCCAGGAGCAAATCAATTTTAATTCAATTTTAACGGCGCCTGTTCAACGTGATAACACTCACGAGCGTGCACGAAATAATTACACAAATTGAAATTTATTTCACAAAGAAAGTGAAGAAAAAAGAAAGAGATTAAAAAATGCGTCCCTTGTGTGGAGTGCAATCATTTTTTATTAATGATTTTTGCATCTTTAATAAATTTTTGGCGATAATTAACTTAGCTTTTTTTATTCACCTTTCTCTTTGCAGCAAGTGGTCGAGCTAAATGGATATGTAATCATTGTGGTGGAAAGTCGCGATAATAAAATTAAATTGTATGGATCGCCTGCTGACAGAGACAACTTGGAAGTGGCTGACGAGATACTTGACGTTAATGAACGCAAATTGGAAGATTTGCCACGCGCCGAAGTAATACGCTACATTCATGAGGTAAATAATTAACTTATGGCGAATTTTTCTTTTCTTTTTTTCATATACAGTGTTTTCTGTTGGTTTCTCATTTGGGTTTTCACTTGATATTTGAATGTCAAACACAACACAAAAGTGGTGACATTCATTTAGTATATACTCATATTTGTTGTGAAACAAAATGTAATCACTTTCTTATTTGTTTCGACGGGATTTGTTCATTGTCGACCAAATCGGTCTGTTCCATACGGTATGGTTCGTTGATATCTGATTTCGGTTCAATGCCAAATCCAGTATAATGCGCATTTTCGAATCAAAAGTGAAAAAATAAGTAATACAAGTGGATTTTATATTGTTTTTTATCGGTGTTGTTATAAATACAAAGAGAATAAACACCTGTTGTTGTATGTATATGTCAATTGCAGCATTTTCTCATTGCGTGGGCAATTGATCCATTCATTTCTATTGTTATTTGTTTGTTACAATAAATGAAGCGTATATTACATTGGCATATGGCAGCAATTGAAATTGAATCTGAACAGAAAACGCATTTCTCTTCCTTTTTGCTATTGATATTCTTGAAATCAATGCCAAACAATCGGTATTTATTTGTTTTTGGATTTTCTTTTGTTTTGAATCACCTATCATTTACCAAATAATCACCAAAGCTCGATTAAAATTAATTGATAATCGTTATTTTATTTCCAGTGTATCCAATCATGTGTGATAAAGTTGCGTGTGAAACGACGGAGTGATTCAAAGCTCGGTAAGTATTTTTTTTATCCGTTAAAAATGAAAAGTATTTATTGAATATAAGATCATCATCACGATATGTTTTATATGAATGAAAACCAAAATACCCACCTTTTTCACTTTTATCATTACGAACGTGAAATCGGATTAAAAGAGTAAAAGCTTAAACGCTTTAAAACACAAAAAAGACCATGTGAGTGCATCGATGTCAGTGGACAGTTTTTTTTTGCTTTTTTCGTCATCGTCAATTAACTAATGACTGTTGGTATCATGGTGTACGGCGCATTTCCAGGAAAGACGCAATTTTTGAAATGAACATTGTTCAACGTTTGACGATAGAAATCAAATCGGCTTTCATTGCAATTCAAATTGTCACCATATAGATGTGTGTATATTTACGACTACGCATTCAATAAATTGGGGATTCATTTTACTTCAACTGTCCATCGTAAAACAAGCAAATCCGAAACATTTTTATTTGATCACGATTTTGGTAAAATGTTGTTCCATTGCCATTAAATTCAATTCTTAGTTTGATGTGTGCATATGCTAAGGGACACATTCTGTGTTGGGTATTGTATACTCGTTGAATTCCGAATTTGGTATCTATCTTTGTATGTTAAATTGTGAAACAATTTCGCATGCTGTTCAACAGATACACCAAACCTATCATCAAACATCCAGAGCCGATATTTTTTGACAAAATTTAGTGAGGCGTGAAAAAGTATACTGCATCGAAAATCATAATAAAACATTGATACAACCTCTGGCCCATTGGACAATATCGATTTGAGAGATATGGTGCTACGACGAAAACATTGACAACGACCAACAGCCATTGGTTTAGCAAAAGTACAGAAAAGGCAAGAGTTTTGCTTTGAAACTGTATAATAAAAAAAAATTGCGACTACAATAAAAACGGATTCGATTAGAAGTGAGAGTGCCTCAAAATGGTTAGTTAGTTCCATAAAAAAAAACTTGAGAAATAAAGTCGAGAAATGTCTGTCTCGTTGTAGTGGCAAATATCGAAAAATCGGAAACTGCGACACACAGAGAAAGAGATTATGAACGACAACGCATCCAGAAATCACCTTATGCAATGTCACTATCATAGAAGCAAATAACACGCACACATACACAATATGACTGGCTTTTTAAATCGATTTCCCTTTTTCTGCCATTTGAGTCGCCATTGATTTGTTCGTTTCATTTTATTCGTTTGGTCTATTGGCTCGTCCGTCATTTTCATCGTCATTTCGGTCACACAAAACAAATGACAACGGTGCATTACACCCATACCCATTCACTTCAATAATGGTTTATCTGGAAATATATGAAAACGGACACTGTCCCGTTGCTAATAGCATAGAAAAACACGACCATCTCAAGACAACCACTTGTGCTTCAATGAAACACACACACACACGATCGAACGTATTAAATAACGCCACTTTCAATACACATCATGGTCGGAAGGAATTATAATGGAAAATAGTGAAGTGAAAGTTTCTGGCCGTTTTTTTGTCATTGGTTTTGGTTGCGTTCATTGCCACCCTTCCTTGCACATTCTCTTGCTTTTTCTATCGTTTTTGTTAGTGAGAATGTGGTGTGGCACATCGTTTTTATTTATCGGAAATGAGAAAAGGTCCAGCTAAAGAGAGATACAGGGAGAGAGAATGCTATGATGTGTAAGTGATTCTACACAGTGTTTTAGTTGTCTTTGGAATTGGTCGAAAGCTTTCCTCTTTCATTGGTGAGCTAGTTTTTTGTTATTCAATGTGTATTTTATACGTTATTGGAAGTTTCCATTTGGATAAACAAAATCCAAGAATTTCCACATTTTCACTGTGCAACTAGTCAAATGGGAAATGGATTTTCTTCTTCCTCATCACACACAATAACAGAAACACGAAAATTGCATGCATATCGATACAAACAAACATCAAAATATAAAATAAATTCGCGATAATGGAAGTTTGAACGCTTATTATTTCCATTAATTTATATTATATTGTGCATAATGGATGTACTGATAAATACAATAAACATTAAAATATCGCATAGACCATAACCAAATATGAGAATGGCGAGAGAGAGGAAATCTTGTGTTATGAAGAAGTGAATGAGATTATCATGGCATTAAACATTGTTATCGAACACGCATTTTGTATCGTAATGTACTGATTAATCGCACGATCGATTCGTCCTTTATTCACGCGCTTTCTACCCAATATACACATTATGCAACTAACTAAAACACAAGCAGCATAACAATATGCTTGGAATATCCTTTTGTATAATATACTCTCGTATCTGTTCAGCGTGCATCTTTATGGGATGTATATGATGTGTAACCGACGCGGTTTTGACCGTTTTATAAAAGGAACTTTGAAAACAATAGACGATTTCAACCGAGTCGATATGTGTATTGTTAAAGGCCATAAGCATCCAACCAAGAAGATGGGGATATGATACAGATAACAAGGGTGAAAATACTCTGTAACAAAAAAAATTATCTATCAAGTGTAATTTGTGCTCTTCGTAAATGATCGACAATTGCTTTTGTCTCTTTTGAATTTGCCATTAAGTCACACAACACTTTCGATGGAAAAATCCATTAATATATTCACTATATTTTATTTTCGTGACATAAATTTGTGGCGATGATGAACACCAGAGCTAAGATGCGAATGTTGAATTATTGCATCTCTTACCATTAGTTGTTAATTGCTACTTCTATCGAACTAAAAATTAAATGCTTGCATTACTTTGCCACTATACATTGTAATTGTTGGTTGAGATGCTTTTATCGTAGATGAAAGTAATTATGATAGCGTTGAATCACTTTTAATCGATATATATATACCATCTCAACGATGAATAAAGAAAACGATGGTCGTAATAAACTTCAGTGGTGTTGATTCATGTCTCTTCATCTCCATCAGCTATGTATTTCTTCCTTTCTCTCGCTCTCCTTTCTTATGTTCAATTTGAAGTACAGAGAATTTAATATGTGCGCCACTTAAGCCGCATACTTACCTACATAAAGCATTCTTAAGTGAATGCATGTAGCTTGTGCTACCACGAAAAGTACGCAAACGAACATTTAAAGTATTTACTTTCTATCTCTTTCTATCGTCACGCATTTTATATTGCGTAGAATTCACTAAATTCTTTGGATATACACTCTCCTACGTACGATCCCAAGCCTTTCCGAAGAGAGATTGTATTGAAACACTGGAAAATAGGTTGTTCAACCAGTTTTGTCTACGTAATAAAGAATATTTATAAGAGCATAAAACAGCTTGAATTCTAAAATGTATGTGAGTTTTTTGTCTCTCTCTCCCTCTCTTGCTCATCGTCGTCGTCATAATCATTGTTATCCGCTTACACAAACTTACATAAGCTGAATGGGTTTAGTCGCTCGCGCACATACAAGTGTACACATCGTTAAAATATTTGCACTGTATTGAGCGCACACAATGACAAATTACCGACTGTATGTAAAATACAAACACAAACTCAGGTGTAAAGTAAATGACAGCATTATCATTTTAAGTACCGTATTCACATCGAAAATGTATAATTATAGTATGTACAAAATGAGAAAATCTTGACGATGTGGAAACCACAAAATAGAATGTATTCAATGAATAATTTCCGGAAATTCTATATCTACTACCTATTTGGGATTATGCTTTTTATTAAAATCATCGTCAATTTGGAATCTCATCTATGACATTAATGCGAGAAAAAAAGTTTTCTTTGAAAAACCAGACCATTCATTTTGCATTTGTGAATTGCATTCAAGAATTTGTTTAGCAATAGGTTGTTGTGAAGAAATTAGTTTGAATGGACAATTTAGAACGTACGAACAAAGTATTTACGATCTGAAACAACAACAAACACACATACATGCTTACATGCTTCAGATTAAGTAAACGAATCAAAATAAGTACACAAACACACACGTTCAACGACTTGCGTTATAGTGAATTAACATGAACAATGATGAAATATAATAATTTTTTGGTGAATACACGGCAACCGACAAATATATGATGCAAAAATACATACATGTATTCAAAAACCACTTGGCAAATACAATAAAACAAAGTATAAGCGAGAGGAAAAAAACACACAATACATCAACTCTCAACAAATTCAGATCCATACATATGCACTTGTTCACTATCGTCTATAGAAAACTGTGCATTGTTCAACCAAACGAACACACGAGTTTCTATGATCCAAAACATGAGTCGTGAAATGGTTACACCGCGGCAAACCGTGTGTTTTTGTATTTTTCATTCTCTCTCTCTTTCTTCAAAATGTATACAGGTATTATGGTGCAGGTATGATACAATGCGTCTCTGTATATGTATCCATATTAAAAGTTGACTTTGTGGCTTTAGCTGTACGCGCGCGACTATCGCGTATATTAATATAAATACATATATACGTTTTTTTCCTCTCTGTTGGCTTCATTTGTTCGTTCGTTTGCTTGTTGTTGGCCTACAAAGAGCTCGAAAATGTTGCTTAAATCTCAGTACCGAATCGAGCCATTTTATTGAAAGTCGTCGGCATTTCGCGCTGACTTTTCTCTCATATTTGTTTGGTTTTGCAGTTTCGGTTATTTTTCGTTTCATTTTTTTCAACTTTATTTTCCAACGATTTACATGGTTTTAAATACTCCGACCAATTGAACATATGAAGAAAGCAGAAAAGAAAATTCGGTTGATCTAACTAAATAATACTGAGTAATCGAAAACTAAAGTGAAGTGATTTCGAAAGTGTTTGGTGTGCAAACTGCAAAACCGTAAATTAAATCGAACAGTATTTGTGTGTGTGATTAATTCGAATGTTATTTGACATATTTACACTTCAGTTAATAATAATCAAATCATCAAAATTCACGTGAAAAATTGTTTATCGGATTTTTGCGGTTTCACCTCATACAATCATCAAATGTGACAAATTCAAAGAGAATTGGATAAAAAAGAAATAAGTTTG